CTATGATCGTTCAATAATTTGAGGTGTAACAATGCTATGTGAATCACATCAATGAGATTTTTATTGATGATTAAGCAATTATGACAACTTAGTCATTGATCAACACCATGTAGAAAAATCATGATTTATCAAATAAAAATATTTATTTTGACTCTAATGAGATTCAAATCTTCTTCGATTGCCTACTTGTAAGAGAGATTATGATATAAATACATTAATATTCTTATCTAGTGACATTATAAGGATATCTTTTTCTTATCATTATATAATATTATAGATATATAAATATTAAAAGTAGGTGACACCAAATGGTGGCCAGATTTAGTCTCACATCAGGTATTTTCGGACACTTAAGACATGTATATAGTAATATGACTTTTGTGTTCAATAAGTCTCTCACATGTGTATGACCATTCCTTATCTCACACATGTTTGACAACCAATGACGTAGAAGAAGAGTGACGCACATGTGCTGTATCAATCCTTAATCATTTAAGCCCATTGTTTGTAGCTTCATCAAATTGTACTTTCAACTGGCTTGTGGGCCTAGTTGGCTGGTGGAACCTTTATTTTTTTATATTTATTTTAAAAATATAATTATATAATTTATATAAAATCACATAATTAATCAAAAACTATTTTTCACAATTTAACACACATATAAGTCTATTTATCATGAGCTGGGCTTAAATTATATTATTAACTCATGACAATAAAGACTTATCATGTAATTTTTAGTTTCATTCATTCTAATTGTGTAAGTCTAATTATAAAATTCAATGATGCATGTATAGTGAGCAATGTTCATTTCTCAATACACAAATCTTTTAAATCAGCTCAATCAGCTTCTAATTCATACTAAATCAATTTATCATCAAAATGAATAATTAAATGTGGAAAAGTTTCTTACAATGATGACTAAGGCCACATTTGTCATCACAGTAGAATTATAAACTTTTGATCCTATGTTCATGAACTTTAGCACATGTTAATTGAATTTTTCATCTTTGTTTGCCTTACAAAGGATTGTTGTCTCTCCTTATTTTATTTGTTTCATATTGAATTGTTGACTTCTAGGAGAATTATGTATTCTCTCATCATTTCATATAGTATTTCCTCTTGACAAGAAAAATCTTATTTTTCTTGATGTGTAGCTAGACATATGATGAGTCTCTATTCTAATCTATTTAGGTAAACTGATATGCCATGCTTCACATAAGATGTTTAGGTGCTCTTTGACCTCTAATAAGGTGTTCATAATTTCTAATAATCCCATTGGATTTTTTCTGAACAATTCATATTAAATTTTTAAGTTGAAACCTTTTTAAATATGTATAATTTGTTACTTCCTTTGAAATCTTGAGAAGGTAGAGAAGCTTCAAATTTTTGTCTATAATTGGATACAAATCCTTCCTACTTAATATCAAAAAATTATTAATACATATTTTCCACTTTGGAAGTTTCAAAATGCCTCTCAAGTTACATGTAAAAAATCTTATCAATTCTTTAATGGATCTCTATCCTCCATCAACATGTACAATTCCAATGTTGTATCATCTAAGTATAAGTTGATTACCTCTATTTGTTCTTCTTCTTAAATTTTATTAATTCAAAAATATATTTCTGTACATTAGAGCCATCCTTCAATATTGCCTCCTTTGAAGATGCCAAGGTCTCTTTTATTTCCTTGTCTATTTCCAATTAACATTGAATTTGGAACAAGTATGAAGGTTGGTACCTCAGGTTGTGAATTTGGCTATCTCTAGTTGCTCATTCTTTAGAGAATTTTTGGCTAATTGATATGTCATACTGGCTGTTGTATCCTTCTTTTCTAATGGTAACAACTTTTCACTAACAGAGTTCTTGAATTCATCAACCTTCTCATCCATCTATTGAAAGAATTATTGTAGTAGATCTATCAATTATGACTTCAACTTTTGTAGCTCCTCCTTTATACTCCGTTGTTTTTCCTTGATTTGTTCTACATTGGTCTCTAATCCCTCTGTAATGCTTAGTTCTATGCCTCTAGAAACTTACTCTGATATCGATTGATAGCCGATTAAGAACATCTTCGAATTGGTTTTATTTATATCTCCAAGCTGGTGAGTGAGGCTTCGGCAATTGAGAACACCCATCTTGCTTTCTCGATTTTATATATGTATCTCCGGCTGTCAAGCTGGGGAGTTATGGAGTTACTGGTTTTTGAATTACCAGTTTTTGAGTTAACGAGTTAGGGAGTTACACTGTCAATGGAAAACCCAAGTTAGTTAGGTATACTAGATGGATGCTCTCCAATAGGTCTACGGTTTCCCAACCCACTAAATAGGAGTGATCTCTGCCTCCTCTTGGACAAAAAGGAAAAATATAAACAATGTATTCAAAGAAAAATAAGATAAAATAGTGAACAGGAATTAGTTTGAGAGAATTCCTCACTCTTCCTTTACTCTCGTGACCTTCTACCACAATACCCCTTCTTTTCACAGAGGAGGGTATTTATATCATTCAGTCCATTCTTATTACAGTGTTTGCTACATAAACTTCTAGACTGTTCTTTTATGGTGAACATGTCTTTAGGGGTACTGTATCATATTGATTTTAGGAGGTTCCATCTCCATTATATTTTTGCTATATTTTTACTGTAATATTTATCTTGAAAGTTGCATGCAACTATCTCCAGCCCTATCAATGACTGTAAGGTCTTTATTTGCTCTCCTCTATTGATCCACAATGTATTCCCCATCTTTTTTGTTTTCATGTTCTTTTCCCTTTAGCGGAACTGGAGAGGTCAAGTGTCTTCACATGCCACTTACTTGGAACCATAGCCTGTGTTCTTCTAATTTGCTTCTGCAGGCGTTGAAGCAGCAAGAGATATCTGTTGCGTTGAGATCCAACGTTGAAAGAATATCACCTGGTACAGCCATCTATATAGTCGACACATTGGGTAATGATTCTAATCATGCAGCCTCATTAATGCTGCTAAATCTGTTTTTTATTTTTTAGTTTTTGGGTACCAATCTGATTTGGAACAATTTCACCTGGAAACATTCTCTCAGTGGTCTGGTTTCCTGTGTGTCAAAATTTCACAGGGGAGCTGAGGACCTTATACAGGATTACTCCGATAGCTGTCATTGGGGGCTCATTCCTACCCGAGTTGTCTGGCCACAATCTCTCTGAGGCTGCTGCTGCGGGCTGCGCTGTTCTGACTGGTGAGCCCCAAGATCATGTTTATAATCCCAGTATCGTTGCTCGTCAGCCGTTCTCGGGTTCCAGCGCCTTTCGTCGGGCACTTCTCTCATATGATAAGGCAAATGACGACATCAGAGCGATTGTCAGTCTGGCAGGTGAAAACATAGATGGTTTCTGACACCTTCCTCAATCAGTAGAGATTATTTCGTATGATTATGCCCGCAACAGGTCTCCGGGAGAGAGGAGCTCGAGGAAGCCCTGGAAGCCCGAAGGAGGGCCGCGAAGCAGGCGTCCTACGCCGTCTCAGGGGGCGTGGTCGGGCGGGTTTGGGAGCTCATCACCGCGAAGCAGGCGTCCTCTTAGAGCCGCCACAGAAGGCATTAGAACCCTTTAGCCTCAGCCCGGACGTCGCCGGTGAGGGATGTGGCGGCCTCGCCACCGGCCGCCGTGCCGTCTCTGAGACCAACCGTTGTCGGTGGAGGGGAGTAATAACCAGTGGTAGATCTTCTTGCCCGACTCGGCGATTTTTTTAGGGGGTGTCGGTTGTCGAGGCCAGATCCGAGTCGGGATCGCGGGCAGGTCAGCACGTGCAGAGCCCGCAGCCACACAAAGACAATAACGCTGACCGTGAACTGTCACGATGACGTCGCCACTGCCATCCTCTCCCCCGAGACGAAGCACGTCCCGAGTCAGTTACCACCACCCGCGCGTTCTCAACCCCCTTCTCTCTCTCTCCCTCTCTCTCTCTCTCTCTCACATATACACACACACACACACACTCTGAGTATTAAGCTGAGCTGAGCTGGGGTTTATCTGGTGGATCTCTCCGTAACTGGGTCGCTTCTTACGTCTTGTCTCGGCCGGTGCTGCTGTCGCTGTTCCGCGGGGCCCTTTCTCCTTGCCCCTCCTGCGGGGAAACTGGGTTGCCATTTATTTTTCTGGTTTCCACTCGTGTTTCTCCGTTTGTTGGCAGCGCAGAGAACTTCGCCAACGCTCTGACGGGGAGTTGGCGGCGTCTGTTCTGTTCGCTCGGCCGCCCTAAACTGCTCCTCTTCTGCAGACCTGTGAATATTTCTTACGCCATCGCGTTTCTGTGATCCCCTTCCTTCTGTGGGGTGCTGCCGGCCGTGGCCTTCCCTTCGGTGTCTTTATTTGTTTATTTTCGCGGGGATTTCTTTGTCGCCATTGTTTCCAGCGCGTCTCGGCCTCCTGTTTCAGGCCCCATTGGATCCGTCGAGGCTATCCTTCCTGTGACCACCATAAATGTCGCCATAGCTGTCATGATGGGGTACCCCACGAAGGTCAAAGAAAGCCCACTGCATCAAAACCCTATATCGGCGAAGGGCGTGATCTTCTCCCACAGAGCGAATGGAGATCAAAAGCTGGGAGAGAACGTGAAACCCCCTCAAGGTTATCAACATGAGCCATTGCCGCTGTTCTCCCCTAAATCTCCAGGGTTTCGTCAGAAGCCGCTGCCACTCGGTGGATTAGCTGATTCTACAGTGCCTGCCGATGACCTGTCAAATGCCCAGGAGGGAGTTCTGAACCATGGAGTTCTCGAGTGGCAGCGACCCGCGAAATGGAAGGATGGCTGCAGAAAGGCGACCGTCGACAAGAAAGCCGCAGTATCTCCCGCAAGAAGCGACGCCTCTTCAATCTCCTCAACCTGTGAGTTCTCGAGCGAATCTTGCAGGAGCAGCGGGAGTAGTTGTCTCGCCTGCAGGAACCAGTTCTCCCTGAGCCTTCAACAGGATTACTCCGCGGAAGAAGAAGCGCTATCAGAAAGAGCTTCCAGGAATGGCATGAGACATCGTATGCCTGACAGGGCTCCCAGTAAATTCCACATCAAGTCCCGCGTATCTATCTCTGGCGAGGAGTGTTTACAAACGGAAAGATTGGTGGCCAAGGTTGAGCAGAACAGGAGAAGCGGTCTTCCTTCTGAAGCCGTGTTTGTTGAGACAGGGCACCATTTTGCAGGCCCAGGTTCTATCAACAGAAGGCTGAAGACCCTGGAGGCTACATCAGGCTGTCGAGACAGATCTGGAGGCTCTGGCCAGTCGGGTCTGGAATGGTGCGACTCCAGACTCCCTATTGCTGCAGATTGTCTTGATGATCATGATTCAGGGCTCACCCATGGGAAGCAACAAAAGGGCTTCACAGCCGAACCAGCTACAAGCTGGGACCTGAATCGGTTGCCAAGGATCAGTACATCAGGAAGAGAAGCATCAAATGACAGTCCCTCGCAAGCACGTCTGGGTGATTTGATTAGAAGCTCCATGTTGAGGGCCGCATCAGCTACCAGGCAACCGGAGTTGGCATCTGCCTCTTCGTTTGATGATGGAGGCCCAGCGCCCGATAGCAGCAGAGCTAGGAGCATCCCTCTAAGAAGGTTGTTAGATCCATGGCTGAAGCCCAGAAAGGTGGCAGCTGGCTCGCCTGGACCTTCCGTACGTGGGAGGAAGGTGGGAGTCCCCACACAGGAAGAGATGGCACCTCCTTGTGTCCTGCACGATTCAGACCAAGGCAGCCCAAACTCCTGCCACAGCAGTTATGTGAGTGGGTCGGCCTCCTCGAGATGGGTTTCCATGGGAACCCCTGGTTCAATTCGTGATGGGGAGTACGAAATGAAGCAAAGCCTTCTGCGGCTCACTTGGAAGAATGGCTTTCCTCTATTCACATTCTCTGTCAACGAAAGTGATATCCTGGCAGCCACGAGGAAGATCGGCAGTCCCAGTAAGGAAGACTCTGAATTCAGTTATACATTTTACTATGTCCGTGAAGAGAAGAAGAAGAGCGGGGGCTGGATGAATCAGGGAAAGAAGAGCAGTAGGAAAGAACTCGTCTCCAGCGTAGCGGGTCAGATGAATATTGCATCCAGCAGATGCCCCAGATATGGCTCTTCCATGAAGGAGTTCATCCTCTTTGCCCCTGAGGTACGCCCCACAGCTGATGAAGCTCCAGAGTCTTATCCAGGCACCGAGCTTGCAGCCATTTCTGTCAGGGTTCCGCAAGAACAAGCAGAAACCTCCGCCAATGATTTTGTTCAGAATACCAATGGGAAACACCCTAGCCCATCTGTGTGCGTCTCAGAGAGCAAGAGATATGTGGAAGTGACTTCCCCAAATATAGCGGTTGTATTGCCTAGTCAAGTTCATGGCCTGTCGAGCAAAGAAAACGGAGGAAAACCTTCACCTCTGCTAGACCGGTGGAGATCTGGGGGACTTTGTGATTGTGGAGGTTGGGATGTTGGTTGCGCTCTGACAGTTCTAATAAATCATCGTCAAGATACCAACTGTACTTCAACCCAAACCTATTCCACTGCAGATGGCACTCATCGGGTAGAGCTCTTCTTTCAGGTATTATCTTAATCTTCTTCACTATGATTTATCTTTCTTCGTGAAGGACTTTATACTGACAGATCCAAGTGACAATTATCGCAGGGAGAGAGCAGCGAAGGCAGACCTGCCTTCAGCTTGGTCGTCTTCAAGGAAGGCCTTTACACGGTCGACTTCCATGCCTCCATCGGCCCACTGCAGGCATTCGCTACTTGCATATCACTTCTGCATAGCAGGAACTCCACCGGCCTTCGGGCCCTGAAGAAGCCACATAAATAAAGAAGGTATTTCTGTTTCAATCGCCAGCTCCTCTTGTAAAACTTTGACCGACCAGTTTCTCGGTGGATCCTGTCCTACCGAGTAAGCTCTCATGATCATGTAGAGTTGATGCCAAGGGGTGGTTCCTTGTTCGAAAGCTTCACTGAAAGATAGAGGATTCAGATTCATTATATCTGGCCAATCTGCGCCTGCAAGAAAAGGCTTGAGCTGGCGCTGTGGTTACTGCCGATGGTGGCGGCCTAAGGAAGGTTGGCAAGAGACACGGATGACCTCCTGACGAAAGTCAACGTGCCGCCGCCCAAAGATCTGGGGACAGCCCTTGTGCTGCTGTAGTAGCTAGCTGCAAGTTGTTGGAACTCGTTTTGGATGGCTATACAATGTATCTGTGCATCGTCATCCTGTTGTAGATTCTCCTTGGCAGATGTGCGAACACGTTCGTTGCTGGCTTTTCTTCTGTTTTAATAATCGCCACTAGTATCTTTATAATGTTACAGTTGACCATGGGCTCCAGTCAATTAATTGCTGTATCTGGTATTTATGGGAACTCCTAGGCAGCCTGGTAAAATATGCACCGCAAAAGACAGCCCTGTTAGAACGTGTTCCATGCGATCTACAATTCTTCAGGAGACTGATTCCCAGATGCCCATCACAGAAGAATGGCGAGTTTATTGAGAAGAGATTACAACAAACCTTGGCTCTGTAGGCAACCGGAAAATTGGGTGTGTACTGTTCTTATTACAAGTCAACGTGGGAGGCGTGGTGAATACAGATGAACCACTGGCCGTCAACCCTCTCGAACACGTTGGTGGCGACTTGCTTGCCCCAGCTGCTGCCCTTCGTCTTGACCACCTCCAGGCAGGTCACGTACCCAACATCACCCTTCACGAACACCTCAACGTTCTTCAGCTCGATCTGGATGGGAAACTCGTGATCGGCGCCGCAGACGACGTCCCAGCTGTCCATGACCAGTTCATAACCAGATATGGTGCCCGCTCCAGGGTGAACGCAGGAGATATTATCTCCCTTGGCCCAGACAGAGTGCATGGCCACCAGATCGCCTTTTCGAAAGGCGTTGTAGAATCGAGAGTTGGCGGCGAGCACAGCCGCCTTGCTGTCCTCGTAAAGATGTCGGAGATCGTCCCGCAGCTTGGCCGCGAGGGCATAATTCTCCTCCTTGATGGCCGCCTCCAGTCTCTGCTGCAATGTCTCCTCGTCCACGAGCGTGCCTTCGCCGTCTAGGTTCCATTCTGCTTCACTGCTCTTGACTCGAGAGGGTCTCTGCGAGCACCAGCGGGACGTTTGACGCAGATGTGCTGCACTGCAGAAATGGGAGGTTAAGACCATTCGACCAGGCATGGAAACCAAGTCCATGGAAGTAGCACTGGAAATTAGCTTTCTACTGATGCAGACGAGGTCATAAAATTCCGCACATGGTTATTAGAACAAACTTCATCTTATATCTCTCTAAAATATTGTGAATTTTGAATTGCTGGAACGTGTTCCAAGCGATGTAAGTTGAAAGCACGAAGTAAAGAGCGGCGGATAAAATCCCAATAAATCCAACTTGGTTTTTGTATAAAAAAGTAAGGCTAATCAGATCGTTGATGTGACTGACCGAGATGGGTAGTGAATATGGGTTAGGCCAGTCTAGCTATTATGATTAACGATTCGTTCAGATCTCTTAGCTGTATACAACCAGTTCTTCTCAAGATGAGCACTAAAAGGAACTTGGATGGAAGCAGTGAGAGGAGAAGAAATCATGCGTGATGAAGATAAACATGAATAGCATTCCCAACATCATTCCCAACCTCGTAGAGGTAGAGAAGGGTTAGAGATGATCATCCATGGTGAATGGTAAAGCTGAAAGAAAAATCTAGGAGCACGATGAACACAGTCAAGCAGTTGCAGTTCCACAGGGTAAGTTAATACTGATCAAAATACGGATATGAGGCAGGTTCAGGGGATTCTGCAAGTATCTAACCATCTGCATGCGGAACGGCCTCAGGGTTCCACATTGTATACATGATACTTTTGTCGTGCATATGTCAAGGGGACGACGGATTCTTGGTCATTTATCAGTAGGGAAGAAGGTTTTACGTTGTTATTTTGGCAGAAACAAATCTCCAATAAGGCTCAAAATTGAAACACGGGAAAAAGAAATGAAACGATGCACTGGCATCGGAAGAAAGCAACCAATAATTGCTTCGTATGCTTGGAAAACTTCCGAGATAGAATACTGCCGGTCATTTGGCATCCAAGATTTTCCAGCTCATGAGACAAAATGAGGACGATGGTTGTCTTCTCTCTGAAAAAAAACTGGCAGAGCTTTCGAGGGTATATAATTCTTCAAATCAGATCTATGAATGTACCAATCACCATTACTTTGTTCCGGGGTAATTTTTGTGCGAGGTGTTGCAAAAGTTTTCCACCAGCAAGGTCTTTTCTCTACAGGGATGCAACCTGCCCTGGAAACATAATCAATGCAACTAGAAAGGCGGACATGTCTGAGGACAAAAAGGATTGATAGTGTAAAAGAGAACTGAGGGAATATGTACGACATACACTGCAAACGACTCTACCAAACAAAAAATAAAGAAAATAAGCGCAGGGATGTGGTGAAGGAACCTCTAGTACAGTCACTGGGCCAGAAATCACTATTACCTACCTAATGGGAGCACATTTTGCAAACCTAAAAAAGGAAGCCAGCCATACTCACATGTTTCACAGAACATGGATTTGAATAAATGATGCCCTGATGCATTGCAGAGTCCTCGCCCCTGAAAACAAACATGAAAATGTAAATTTCTCTGATTGGATAAGAGCAGGAAGAGAAGAGGCAACTCCGGCTACATTGTCTTCCTTTCACCTTACATGAACCTTTCGACTTAATAAAGACTATTTTCCAAGCATAAAAAAATCGCCCTAAAATGCTCTTCGGGCATAGAGGAAATCATATTCCAAAAGAAAAAGCTTAGTAAGGATAATCATCACAGTGAATTTTTCTCCTTTTCCGGTGTGCTTACGATTTAGATGGAGCAGCATATCATCGATCACTTAAATCAACAACTCTATTGGCTATGCCATAAACAAAGACCATCATAAGTGGGGGAAAGGAGAGCGGCCACTCCACGAAATTTCAATGGACTTCTCAGGGGCTAAACTGTTCTCTAGAATATATGGACCCGAAGAAAAGCAGGGCTTCGCTTTAAGGTGACAGACCAAGGCTCTTCGACAGAAATCGTTCCTTGACGATTCGGAGCAGCCTGAATCTTTCCAATAGAACTTCGATAAAACAGGTTCAATAGATAATCGATTCAATCCGCTACAGGACCACTAACGAATCTCTCAGGAGGAAAATTATACAGGACAAGCCGATGACGTGAATTTACAATTTCATTATGTAAAACTTCTACTGATCTCAGGAGGAAAATTACACAGGGTAGATGGTAGTCTGAGGTAGAGAAACTGAGAAACTAGTCGGAATTGATAGTGAAAACTAACTGTATTTTTACATAATCCGCCCTAATGATTAAAAAATTCACGTCATCGGCTTAAGTTATGAAATAAAATATTAAAATGGATTTCATCGGTGGACAAAACCGCGACATAAATAGGGAATGTAGTGTAAAACTGATATGCTCCAGACAACTTAGCTTCTTTATGCAGATAAGATAACAAGAATTAAATGATACATGAGAAAGAGTGGCCCCGAAAAGAATCTCAAACTTTAATTGATTAAATTTTCTAACTTGTGAAATACATATTACGCTTGCATAAAGTATCATTATCCACAACGTTGCCGTGCTGCCAGAAATTCGAGTTTGTTCCATGAACCAAATTTCAAAGACAATGGAAGGGTAGAGCGTCCCGCGTCAACCATCGTTTCTGCTCCTCCCCGCCGTCGTGAAATCAAGATCCAAGTTCGAACAAATGTCGTAGTTCCCGAAAAAAACGGGTAAGGGACCAAGAAAACTCGGAAAAATTCCCAACCGGCCGACGACGAATTGAAAACACAAAAAACACTCCACAGATCTAACATAAACCAGCGACGTACTTATCGTCCGTCCAAAGAAACAAGAAGACAATCCAAAAGAACAGGGAGGCTTACGGTGCCGGGGAATCCAATTCCTGGATAATTGCACGTGGATACCGTTTTTGGAGAGCTGTAAGGGGGAAAAGCCGAAATGGCGAGAAAAGAACGGGCAACATGGGCCACCATCGTGACCAGTTCCTCCTTCCCAACAAGAAAAGCCGAAGGGTTCGGCGTGCAGTTTTCAAAACCCTAGCTGGCCCGGAGGGGATCAGCCAGGAAGACTGTGAGAGCAAGGTGGGAATCCGCACGTGGAGGGTGGTGGTTGGCTGTAGCACAGTCACCTCTTCCACGCGTGATAACCGAGCAGGACGGGTCCTCTCACCGCACCGATAACGCTCCGAAATGACAACAATCAGCCACGACCCCCACCTTTATTTTCGAGATATCGTCTTCATCGGACCTCGGTCGCGACCATCCTATTCCAATTGGGCCGGGCCGAATCTCTCCCCTTTGACAACTTGCTCTTTTCGTTCTTTCTTGCTTTCTCGGGGGAGCATGGTCCACACAAATGTGCCATGAATTATATGGTCCAATATGATCGGACTGGCCCGTAGTTGTAGGCCTAGTTTTCCCGTGTTAATGGGCTTTCCCGTGTTCAGAGGCCCAGGATGCCCCCCTCGTCTCCTCGTCCTCTCCGTGGCATTGTAGTTGGGGGTGGTGCTGCTGCTGCTGCGACGCCGGCAGCCAGGGGCGGATGCGGAGGAGGCGGCATCCGCGGGGGGAGAGCACAGGCGGGGACTTTCGGCTAGAAAAAGTGTGCTCGGGTATTTTTTCCTTGCTCTGCAGATGTCATATGCCGGTGGTTCCCTGTTACTAGGGATCTGCCATAGGTCGAGCACGTTAGCGTTTTGGGGATTTTCCATTCTCCACAGCGCTAGGAGATATTCGATTTTCATGGGAAGGTGGCGGATGTCATCTATCCTGGAGGGCCTGGTCTCAGGTTGTCTCCGATAGCTTCCCGATTGCCGGGATGTGCTTATGTCTCGAAGTGTTCGACGGCGCGTCCCTCGTGGTGCTGCCCCTACCTGGCCCTAAAATGACTGCATTTTGCATTCGATCACCCTATGCCAATCTTCAAAAGTTCCCTTCTGCATTTTTTTCCCACCTTCTCGTGCTGAGGCGTCCGTAAACCCTGGACATCTGATTTTGGGATTTTCAGCTGGCCCGCGAGCTCCTCGTAGAAGGCCGCAGTTTATTGACCTTTTTTTGCATCTCCATGGTGCCTCGAAATTTATTGCACTGGGCAGGAACATGGATGTCTTCGTCAAGCAGGATGCTATGTATCTTTAGCCTTAATATCTTGTGTTCTGTTTTAATCATAATTAGAATTTTTTTCTTACATGTATGAGCTTCTTGTCATGCGGAGGATGATCCGCCTAGCTTTCCGGTCATGCGGAGGTTCTTTAGGTTCTCCTAGGATATATTACACTGGGACAGATTAATGGGCTTTTTCAATGACTTGGAACAATCATCCGCCTACTCCCTTATTGATACTAGCGTATATTGACGATGTTTGGAATGGCGCATGAAGCCAGTTTCTCGTGAATTTTACCTTCCTTTCTCCTCTTGGCTTTCCAGCCCAGTGGTCTCTGGCTAATTAAGTTGGTAGACTGTTGATGACATGCTGTCGAGTTTTTTGCTCAATTTTTTAATGAAATGGGAGTTTTCCTCCAGTTCGTAATGTGAGAGACAGAAAAATGTGCTCATTGCTTCGCCAATTTAAGAGGACTATCTTCCCTTGCATATGCAGATGGCGCGGTGGGATGCGATTTTAACCTTACCTGTCCAGAATCCTCCAACCTTGGAATTCTCCTCCACTGATATTGTGTGGTCCAGAGTGGAAGGCTGGAAAGAGATGATGGACAGGGTTGCTCTAATTCCCTTTACCAGAGTGAATGACTTTGTGAGAGGTGAATCCAACCGTAAGGAGTGCCCGACTAAATTTCATGTCGAAGCAAGGAGAAGAAGGCCCCCTGACATGCCTTACAAGCCAAAAGTGGACGGTATTCTTGAGTACATTCTGTAAGTGAACTTTTCTCGCTGAAAGTTAGTTCCAAATGTGATTTTTCTTCGTATTTTATAGGTGGTCCGTTATCTTATTGGAAACTTTGTCGTGGCTAAACATCAAATAAGACAATATTTTATACAAATATCTATGGAATCAGGCTCATATTCATACCTCGCTGTCGAACAATCTCTCGGATTCAGATGATCTTATTAATTATTATCTTTTGCGTAGAGCCCAGGATTTCACTGCAGGTCTTTTGAACACCTTTTCTAGAACCTTTTTCCAACCTGATTGATCAAGACTGGCAAGATATTGGTTATAATTTCGGTATACACTCTACAGAACCTGATGTCATGGTGATACTAATGCTTTCCTAAGGTACTTCCCTCGAAAAATGCATCAGTAATTGAAATAATATCATACTTATTCAGACCCTCATCTGTGGACAAGAGAATGTCCATTTTTAACCTCATTCTTTTTATTAAAAAAAAGTTACAATATGACTCTAATTTGTTTCATTGGTAGATAGTCAACTGCCCCAACTGCATAGAATATCAACTGCTTTCACCTCATTGCACGTGGAGGATCACCCCATCAAATACCAATCAAATGGGTGCCCATATCTGATTCTTGTCCTTAATGGATTATCTCAAACAACTATATGATTGAGTCCATATTTAGCATTTAGATTTGAATTTATTTTGCATTTTAATTTCTCCTATTTATCTGGTTGTTATCGTGTTTGGGTTCAACCAGTAAGAAAAATTAAGCCTCGTAGCATATTGATATTTGAAGACCCACTCGTTAGCCACATGGATTTCGTTTTGTGTGACCCTTCAACCTCTTCCCTCTGGTCAAACCCTTTTATTTCCAGTAAAGGATTGGATTCTGACTAACATATTGAAAAAACTGTGGTACATCGATAAAGATAACGGATAAGGTCTTTCATTGCCGGTGCTGACAGAATGTCATTTTGTTGCTTTCTTACTGATGGGCTGTAACTAAAGTTCACGTGATCTACGTGGTACTAAGTTTTATATTCATTTAATTATCCTGGCTTTCAACATAGGTACTGGTGTTCCTTTGGGCCAGATGACCACCGAAAGGGTGGTGTTGTCCGCCCAAGTAGGAATTATAGTGCAAAGAGGAAGACACCTGCTGGCCGACCAAATACTAAGAGGGGTTGCACGTGTCATTTCATTGTAAAGAGGCTGATAGCTGAGCCTACGGTTGCTTTGATCATATATAATCATGAGAAGCACATAGACAAGCAAGGTTCGCCCTGCCATGGTCCCCTGGATACAAAAGCTGTTGGGACACGTGCTATGTTTGCTCCATATATCTCAGAAGAGCTTCGTCTGCAAGTCATGTCCTTACTCTATGTGGGAGTTCCCGTTGAAACCATAATGCAGCGGCACACTGAAACGGTGGACAAGCAAGGGGGTCCACGTAATCGAGATGACCTCCTCACCCATAGATATGTCAGGAGATTGGAGAGGAAGATCCGGCGTTCTACGTATGAGCTGGATGTAGATGATGCAGTTAGTCTTGACATGTGGATAGAAACCCACCAGGCTCACGTTTTCTTTTATGAGGATTACTCTGATTCAGAGCCCTTTGTTTTGGGCATCCAGACAGAATGGCAATTGCAACAGATGATCCGATTTGGAAATCGTAACCTTGTGGCTTCTGATTCGAGTTTCGGAACGAATAAATTGAAGGTTTGTTTCACTAGAACCTTATTTATCACATGATAAATGCCATTCATCACGATGGTGCATATTGCTGTATACCTGATGCCTAACTTGTTTCCATTCTGTGCTGCTGCCCAGTATCCTATTCACAGTCTCCTTGTATTCGACTCGAACAACAGTGCAATACCAATTGCCTGGATCATAACACCAAGGTTTGCCTGTCGTGAGTCTCATAGATGGCTGAGGTCACTCTATGATAGAGTCCATTCCAAAGATCCCAACTGGAAATTGGGCGGGTTTATAATCGACGATCCTTTGGCTGATGTTCATACCATTAGGTTTGCCACTGAGCAATCTTCTCTCTTTGGTTTTTTCCATTTGGTCGCCCACAGCTGACCCTCTGTTTCCCACGGCATTCCTTAGGGAGGTTTTCCAGTGTTCTGTACTGTTCTGCCATTGGCGCATGCGCCGTGCTTGGCAAAAGAACATCATGGAGAGATGCTTGGATGAAGAGATGCGTGCTGAGATCTTCAGACAGCTGGGGAATGTGGTGTCCAGCATTTGCAGGGGAGGTGGTGACGTTGACTTATTTGAGGGATTCCTGGAGGATTTTGTGGACTCCCTTGGCTTCCTGGACTACTTCAAGGGAACCTGGTTTCCCAGACTTGGTTGGCTTCTACTATCCATATCCCTCCTGAAATCAACATTTTCTATTTTTTTAGCTAATTAAATGCGTTCCACGTTTTTAATTTTTCCCCCCCAGTCCCATGGGCTGCTGCCTTGAAGACCCTTCCAGTTGCCACGACGGAGACTTGTGCAGCGATTGAGTGCTACCATCACCAGCTTAAGCTTAGGTTGCTTAATGAGAAGGATCCGAGTGTGTATCAACGTGCAGATTGGTTGGTTGACAAATTAGGCACCAAAGTCCACTCTTACTACTGGCTTGATGAATTCACTGGGAAGGCCAGCTTCGCCCGTTACTGGAAGGATGAATGGAAGAGCGATCTAACACCATGGCAGCAGGCGTTACAGATCCCCGACTCCAATGTCACTACGGACGGACCGTGTGTGAGGGTGAAGTGCCAGATAGACCAGCACATAGCATATACTGTTTGGAATGCTGGCTCCGAGTTTGCCCTGTGCGACTGCAGCTGGTCAAGGATCGGAAACCTGTGCAAGCATGTGATCAAGGCTGGTACTTTGCTTCGTGGGCGAGGACTGGCTGCTCCATCCACTAGTCTGGTCAAATATAATCAGATTCTGAGCAGCATTCTCAACTGCCCCCCCCACGATTCTCTGATTCGCGACCATGCTGTCGCTTTGGCTACACACGTGAAGATGCAATTGAATGCACTGTATGATCCGGAAGGTCGAGGTGCTGTGCCATCAGTGTCTACTCATGAGGATCATCCTGGCCAGCGCCCACCTGCCTCTGTGGAGATGGATGTTGCTGATCGGCAGCCTCCACCGGCCTCCCCTCTAGAACAACCTTTCAAAGATGGCAGTGACAGTTTACGAGATGGAAACCCATGCTTAGATACAAATAGCTCTACAGATTCGGTGATGGGGAAGAACTCCCAGGAAAACCTCAATGCCGCTTGTGGAGCTCCTGCAAATCCCAGTGGATCTACTGATGGAGTGCGGGAGGGTGAACTAGATTCAGTCCATCTCCAGCCAGCCGGTTCCAAGTCTGCCTCCAATGGTGCTGCCCATGTGTCTGAGCCTCAGATTTCTAAGATTCTCGATGATGGTAACAAGTTTTCTGATGTTAGAGGACTTGCTTCTGATCCCATGGATGATGACAGCACTGAAAAGGATTTTGAGGCATGTTGTGCGACTGCAAATCAACCTGAAAATAGCAAGAATTCCTCTGAAAATATAGTCATCAAACGTCAAAGCTCGGATCTCATGATGAATGGTGTGTTGACTAAAAATGGAGTGCTTAAAGCTGACATTAAAAGACCAGACCAAGGTCGTCCCTCTAAAAGAGCTTTAGTTGGCCAGGCGACTCACGACTGTATCACCGATGATGCAGTGGCCAATGGTCACTTGATCTCGAACAGTACTCCGGATATCGAAAACATGGCTGTGGACCCTCCTGAGGAACTCAGTACAAGCACCATGCTACCCGCGGCAACTGGACAAAGAACTGAGCTTGATACCACTGAGGAAGCTGGTAAAGATGCAGGCGTTGTCATGGATGTGGAGATTTCGCCATCTGCTGAACCTGCCACCAAGTGAGCGTCTGCCGCCAGCAGCCCTCCTCCATGAATGAAGCGGTCCCACTGCCAGTCATGAAACCCAACTGTGGCCACGGCGTTCTTAGTAGATTTCGCCGTATCCAAGAAGAGCTCAATCAGTCTTCATCACCCGAGGAAACCTGACTCTATACAGAAGCTCGACCGCCATGCTCGATAAACTGAAGCGGGAAGACTGCTGCCCTCGTCAAGGTGGGGAGATCCATCCTCTTCACTGAACTGGTGAGATGCTGGACCCCACCCCCGTCTCTTGGTTTGAACTGTGTACAATCAATCTGCGATCCCCCATACTACCCCTTTTTGGTTCCCTTTTCTGTATCTATCCACCGCCATACCTGTGAATTTCTCTATCTTTTTTTGATGGGGGATCGAACGGTATGTAGGTCGTCTGGGTGCTTCCCCTTCCCCCTGCTTTGTCTGCTATCCACCGGAGTCTCTTCCTCGAACCATTGACATTATGAGTATGAAGGAAGCCCTGCTTTCTCGGCTCCGCCATATGATTACGATGGACCTCCTTATCTCCTTACAATAAGAGGGGAGGGATGGCTAGTGGGCAAGTACTCGAAGGACCGGCCCATTAATGAGAGAATTTCTTGGGTTGTGAGAGAATTTGCGTCTACCCAATCATCGGACCATGGAGTGATATCCTCGCCCGCCGTATCCGATTCTGGAGGGAAGCTGGCGGAGGAGCGCGGCGGTAGCGGCAGCGGCGCAGGAAGGGAATACTACGATGTTCACTGTTGGCAGCGCAGTTCTTGCGTCACCTCCCGCGGCTGTGGGGCTGTCGGGCGTTTTCAGCAGAGCCGGTGGCTCAGAGGGGTAGAGAGAGAGAGATATGGTGGCTCTGTCTTCCCAACTGGCGAAAAGCGAGCTTCGCCCTCTGCGCACTGCCTGGCGGTCGGCAGCGCCGCGGCTGTTCACTGGCGGCGCTGGACGATGGGGCCGCCGCGCTGGGCGGCGGGACCCCACCCACCTAGCGTGGAGATGCAGACGGCATCAGATGGGTGGACCTCGAATCGCCTGTGCGGTGGCCTCGTTTTCACCCCCTCCGCTGCTTGCCGAGCTGGCGCTTCTGGCCTGTGCTTCGCAGAGGGGATTGTACCTGCATGTGACCGCTCTTAATGGAGAAGCGTGGCCTGGCCTGGTCTCTGCTCACGAGGGGGGCTCTTGAGGTGACGGTACATGCCCTGCACATCCCCCACCCCTCTCTCTCTCTCTCTCTCTCGCTGTACCGGGTTGGACAGAGGACAAAACTCCTGGCCGAGCACATGACCGGATCACTTTGATAAGGAAGACGAGCTCGTCATGTGGATCCCCGCCATCTTTTTTTTCGCGTAACAGAGAACGAGACGGATCGAGGGCGGGCCGCCGGGGACGAAGCCCGGCGCCGCCCGCCTGTCGGCCTACGATTAGAGAGAGAAAGGGAAAGAGAGAGAATGCATGCCTACGCTCAAACGCTGGCCACAACGGCTGTACACTTTGAACAATTTCACTTGAGCCCATGCGGCCGCTGGCGGCGTACAGAGAGAGAGAGAGAGAGAGAGAAAGATGGATAGGAGGAGAGTGGAGGAGCCGGCGACCAACCGCCGCCAGATCTCCCAGCTACCCTCGTCGACAACTCCGACCGCCAATCTGACAGTTGCACGGGAGCGATAATATTAGGTCAAATTGACCCAATAGCCGGCGTAAAATAACCCAGAGGTGGATACCCACCACGTCTTCTGCCATCGGAGCTCCTCCTTCATCGATACCACGGGATTCTCCCGGATCATCGTCTCCGACTCTGGTCAACCAGATGGAGGGGAGGGAGTGGCCATTCTGCTTACGTTGTGCTTCTAGCAGGTGGGCATTATTGGCTATCTTCCAAGATTCAAGCCAGAGCCGTTGAAAACCCCTTGTCGAGCGTGTTGACCGTCGGTGGAGGAGACGGGAATCGGCCACCGCGAGCATTTTATCTCCCCCTCCGACGGGAAGGGCGAGGCCGGCGGCTAGTGGCGATCTCTGCCTTCCCGGAGGATCCGCCATCGTCATCAGGCCGAGACATTCGCGAGAGTAAGCCCCTGGAGGTTAGAAGATGGGAGACGTTGACGATTCGGCAGCTAGAGAGAGAGAGAGGGAGGAGGCGGACAGGGAGGAGGGCGGATATTCAAATCTTTTCTGACTGTGCAACAAGGGAGAAGAAACACATGAACAGACAAAATTGTGCCCCTCCTTCCTGCATTTACTGGGAGAATTTTTTTTCTCGAGAGCATTACTGCTGGATGTGATAAACTTGGCTTATAGCAGAGAGTTTGTTTTAGAGAGAGAAAGAATGAGGGTGGGGTGGGGGCAGGGAGGAGGAGAAAAAGGGAGCGCCTTGGATCCCCTGATAGCACATCCCGGTGCTACCTCCCACTCCGCCCGAAACGTCTGCCCCTCTTCATTGCAAACCCTCGATTGCCCGCGCCGCGCCCCACGAGGCCCTTCTCGCGTCTCGCTCCTCCCTCGGGACTACTGCTCACTGCAGCCGCTGTCACTGCAGCGGCGGCTGTTCCTCCCATCGACGCCAGCAGGGCGATCGCCTTTGGGAGAACCGCCGCCATGACATGATATATGCCCACCCCCTTCTTTATCCCCCGCGCTTTCCAAGTCCAGGAAAAGGAGGAGAACCCTGTCGAGGCATCTGCCGTCTGATCCCTGCCCGCAGCAACCCCGGCAATGGGTGGGCGCTGCTCCAAGTACAGCGTCTGCTGGTGCCACTCCTACTTCAAGAACTCCGCCCTTGAGTCGCCTGATCATGGTACCACCCTCTTCCTCCCCCCAAGCCGGCCAAACCCCCCCTTCTTTCTAGCTGCCTTCTGTGGCCGACAGGGTAAATTTAATGCCGATGCTGCAGAGGACGGGGCCAAGGCGGAGCAGGGCGCCGTGCCGTCGTTCAGGGAGTACGGGCTCGCGGAGCTGCAGGCTGCCACGTCGGGCTTCTCCTCGGACAACATCGTCTCCGAGCACGGCGAGAAGGCCCCCAACATCGTCTTCCGGGGGCGCCCCGCCACCGGCGACGCCACCATCGCCGTCAAGCGCTTCAACAAGTCCGCCTGGCCCGACGCCCGCCAATTCCTCGTCCGTCCGCGATGTCCCCCTCGCCGCCCACATCTCCCTTTGACGATGCTGACAGCGATTCTGGGATTCTGCTTGGTTCCTGGCAGGAGGAAGCGAGGGATGTAGGGCAGCTCCGCAGCGAGTGGCTGGCGAATCTAATCGGCTGCTGCTGTGAAGGAGATGAGAGACTCCTCGTCGCCGAGTTCATGCCCCACGAAACCCTCGCCAAGCACCTCTTCCACTGTGCGTTCTCTTACCCCCCCTCCCACCTCTCTTCGCTATAAAATTTTTCCTCTCCCCCTTCTCTGCAACGCTCCCACACCCTTCATCACCGGAGATACTTGGGATTTGAATGACCGCGGATTTCACCGCGCCTGGTCGTTTTCGCAGCGCCGCCATTCCTCCCTTGCTCTCTATGGGCCTGCGGCGGGACCAACTTTCGTCATTTATTCTCGCTTCCGCAACCATCTGCTTCCCCATTTCTTTCGGGTGACGATGGGTTCCGCCAACCGGCGTCTAGTTTCTTCCCTCATTCCTCTGGGGACGACGGCAATCAATTGCTCAGCACCAGCGAGAGCTGATCATCCAGAGGGATTACAGTTGTTGATTTTATTTGGCAAGAATGTTAGCAACGCAGCAAAAGTATTCTGAACCGAAAAGGGCTTGGAAACTTCAGGTTCTCTGTCGATTTTCTCTTAGCGTCTTACGGGATTGGCTGAAGATGAACTGGATGTTCTATCGATTTGGCTCTGCGTTCTTCATCGGGATAATTAGGGTTCGGCTTCGTAGGGGACACGCAGCCGATGAGATGGGCGATGAGGATAAGGGTCGCCCTCCATCTGGCACAGGCCTTGGAGTATTGCAGCGGCAAGGGGCGGGCGCTGTACCACGACCTCAACGCGTACAGGGTCCTCTTTGACAAGGTGCTCCAAAGTCAACTCATTCTTCCCGCGCCGCCGTAGCTCGTTCCTCATTCGGCGCTTGATTATCCGCCGTCTCTCGACAGGACGGCAATCCCAGGCTCTCATGCTTCGGCCTGATGAAGAACAGCAGAGATGGGAAGAGCTTCAGCACCAACTTGGCTTTCACGCCCCCGGAGTATCTCAGCACAGGTGATTCAGAGCCCGAATCACTCGATTTAAATCGAAAAAACGGACATATCTGTATGGTTTTGATCGAGTTTCTCTCTAATGCTAGCTATTATGTCTGCTGCGTATCGCAAAAAAAAATAATGTCGCGATGGTGTTCTTGGTTCTATGCTTGGCAGGAAGGGTGACTCCAGAGAGCGTAATCTACAGCTTTGGTACTCTTTTGCTCGATCTTCTCACTGGAAAACACATCCCTCCAAGCCATGTACGCTCCCCATCTAATCCTCTTAATTTGATCTTAATTATTTATTGTTAAGCTCAGTATTTATTGTTTCCGTTTCTTGCTCTGAGATCATCTTCCTGGGTTTCCATCCTCCTTTGTACATAAATAGCAATGAAGAAAATCATCAAACCCTTCCTAGTTTCTTTATGTTAAGGCTACCTGTTCTTCATCTCATGAGCTGTTCTTCCTGCGAGGAGACGATACGGCGCCAGTCTATTAAAAAATAGTAATAATAAGTCGACTCCAGACATGCTGTCCTTGGCTTCAAAGGCATTGAATCAGCTTCCTCCTAGTCCCTCCTCTCAGATCACAAATTCTGATGCCCTATCTCGCTGAAAGATTGTGATCCGAGGGCCCGACGATCTTGGAGCCGCATTTGAGGATGGCTGACTTTAGTTCTTTGGGCTTCTTTAGTTTCATGACGGTTGACTTCCCGAACGCCCCCGGCAGGCGCTCGATCTGATTCGCGAGAAGAACTTCGTGGTGCTGATGGATTCCTGCCTGGAGGGGCACTTCTCCAACGATGATGGGACCGAGCTGGTCCGCCTAGCCTCCCGCTGCCTGCAGCAGGAGCCTCGTGAGCGACCCAATCCAAAGTCTCTGGTGACCGCCCTCACAGCCCTCCAGAAGGAGACCGAGGTGATGAGTCCTGGCTAATATCTTTTTACAAAAACCATATTCGATTCGGATTAATTGTTCGTTTTTCATTCTCCTTGATCCTTGAGCAGGTGCCCTCGAATGTTCTGATGGATATCGCTCCCGAGACCCATCAGGATGAATCCCCCGCGCAGTCACTGGCGTTGACTCCATTAGGGGAAGCTTGCTACAGGCTGGATCTCACCGCGATTCACGAGATGTTGGAGAAGGCCGGCTACAAGGATGATGAAGGAGTCGCGAACGAGGTGAGGAAATTAAATGCTGGTTTTTATTTATTCTGTTGTCTGGCATACATTCGCCATCGGTGAAAGCAGTAATCTTGAGCAAGAACAGATCATTCTTTCTTGGGGTGGGGGTCTGAACGTCATTGAAGAGAGGAGGATGCCCCATGGAGTGTGTGGGACATGCCCAGCTGGTCGATTCGCGGGTAGAGGCTGAATAGGGTTTTCTAGAGCGAAGTAGACATTTTTGAAGCATAATCCTCTACGGAAAATGTATCGTCAGTTGCTGAAACGCTTTGAGTCCGAGAAAAATTGTGGGAGATATTGTTGAAGGCTACTGCCACTGTTCATCTGACAGCCTTTTCTCTCTATATATATGTATCTATATATTTATTTATTTGTGGATATTTATATCTCTCGTCCATCCTGTCTGATGCCCAGTGGTGCTCGAGATTCTTGGTTCCTGTAATGGCTAGGCTAGATTTGCCGAGAGCTTCCTCCCTCTTTGATTCCTTGAATAATTTCTCAACGGCGGGGGGGGGAGGGCTTGGACCCGCCGTCGCTGTCGTCTTTGCAGCTGTCATTCCAGATGTGGACCGACCAGATGCAGGAGACATTGAACTCCAAGAAACGCGGGGACGCCGCATTCAGGAACAAGGATTTCCCCGCCGCCATCGACTCCTACACCCAGGTTTGGGGATCCCGCTGCCCTTTTCAAAAAGCCTGGGCTAACCCAGTTCATGCCGGGACGGCGCTCTGACTCTACTCTGTCCTTCACCGCCGCCGCAGTTCATCGAGAGCGGGACGATGGTGTCTCCGACGGTGCTCGCCCGCCGGTGCCTCTGCTATCTGCTGACCAACAAGCAGCAGCCGGCGCTTGGGGACGCCATGCAGGCGCAGGTGATCTCGCCGGAGTGGCCGACCGCCTTATACCTCCAAGCCGCCGCCTTGCTCACCCTCAAGATGGACAGCGACGCCCTGGAGATCCTCAAGGAGGGGACCTCCCTCGAAGCCCTGAGGAACGGCAGCGGCCGAGGAACTGTATTATAATGGCCCTCATTATATGTACTTTTTTCCGATGGTATTGATATTTCGGATGCGGTTCGGGCCTACATGGACCCGGGGTCTCCGTCTGTCGGATTCAGACTCAGAGGATAAACGTTAGGGCCGGCCCTCTCCATTTTGTCTTTTTTTCTTTGCTTTTCTTTTTCGGTAGAAGTCCAAGAAAAATGGACTCTTGGTTTAATGGGCTGGGGACATGGATATTAAAGAAAACAGGCGGTCCAGAAGAAGCAGATGAAGGGGACAGAGGAGGAAGAAGAAGAGTGCCGCTTGAAACAGCTCTCTCACAAGCGGTAAAGGATCCTTCCTCCAGTCACTCGTCCTCCTCGTCTTCCAGCTTCGTGGGTTATCGAAACTGTCGTCGTCACCCGGGGACGTTGAAGTGGAAGAGCCAGGAGATGAACAAAGCGAGCACCATGCAGGCGAGGAGGAAGTTGAGGAGGCGGTGGCCATGCCAGAAGCTCCGCCGGGCTTCAGTGGGGAAAGCCGGCGGGGTGGCGGCGCTGGTTTCGTTCCAGTGGTCGATGAACTCGGTCTCCCCCGTTCCGGCAACATTCTTCGCCACCGAACCGCAGACCTCACAAACTCTGGGGAAAAAAATTGAAGAAAATCAAGACTTGAGGAAATTGCCAGAAAACGAGGCAGGGAGGGGAACCCAGATCCAGTTGATACAGCCCATTTATAGGCCGAACTGGAACAGGATCGTCACCATCCTCGAGCCCAATCGCGGAAAAGCTGGTCGTAAAGGGTCGAGGGAAAAGTGATGCCCCCAGACGAAGCCCCACAGGTTGATCTTTGAAAGTGATGAGAAATCTTCTATCGGATAATTTGACATTACAGCATTCATGATGAGGACAAGAACAGATCATGGCGTTTGATTCAACAACGTATTGTCCTTAATCGGATGAAAGAAAGCGTCGTCAAGCCTGCGAGAGGAAAGGGACCCACTTGATTTCCAGTTTCTATCTAGAGTATAGTAATGGGATTGAACTAAATCAAAGCCTTTTTCTTTTTCTGGTTCCTTTCCTTCATAGCTTTCGGGCGATGCTTCTTGTTCGAGTTTGGGGGCAAATCCTACATTCCGAAGGCAAGTTTTTCAGGTTTGTCCAGCGTTCTCTGAGGTTCTTCCCCTAGAGAATGTGGAAACAGAAAACGACAGAGGATCCGACTAAGATCATAAGGAAATGTTTCTACATCTAACCCACTGGTTCGCTCAAAAGCAGGGAAGAAGCAGTAGAAAAGGTGAACAGGAACCATCGAGTTTGATCCCAAGAAAATGTGAGCTGAGAAGCGTCACCTGTTTCCTTTGATCTTGAACCAGGTCTCTGCGCACTGCCTGTGAGCCGCAGCCAGATCGTCCTTACATGAACAGCCCAATTCGATGGCGATCCCCGATTCCTGAACGCTGCCCGACAGGCTCAGGTGACAAATCCGGCAATCCTTGTCGACTTTGGCGATCTTCGTCTCAGAATCTGCAGCCCCCCCGTCCTCCAAGTCGATTTCAGAAGAGCAGTTCGAGCCCCTGCAGGGTTCCAGGGCTCCGCTGACCTGGTGATCGGATGTGGATGCATTGGAAAGCCGGAGATCGTCGAACGAAGAACCGGTGCGGCGTGAATGGTAAGCAGAGTGCCATGACTGGTCCTCTGCGTCCGAGAAACAGTCGCTGCCGTCGCTGCCGTCGGGCTGAGGAGGATGGCAAGCTCCAGATTCGACGTCTCCCTCCAGAGGCTTCCCCTCTTTCGTCGCCATCTCCCAAAACTGAAGAACCCAGATGTTCCAGGGAAGACCTCCGAGATTGCAGAAAAACACTCAAAAGAAGATCTGCGAACAAACACCTCAAAGAGTTCGTTCACCGGAAGAAGGATTCGATGATTCTACAAGTTTAGAACCGGAAGCATTCGCGGCTCCCCAGGGCCTGGTCTGCGAGCAGAATGCGATCAGTTTGAAGAATATCCCCCGATTCGAGTCGAGCATTGCAGGAGAAACATCGGAAATCTAAAACCCGGAATCCCTCGAAGTGCCCCACGGCGCCATTACCGTCGGCCTCTGCGGCTCAAACCACCCTAGGCAAAACCAAAATCGCCGGCGAAACCCCGAAATCCATCCATGACAGAGCACGACCAGACTGTGATCTTCGGCGAGAGGGCGGTTCCATCAACCCTCGGCGGGGGCCGCAGGGAGGCCATGGAAGGGCTCCGAAGGCCGACCAATGTAAGAACCCGACAGCAGGGCAGGCTGGGAAGAAAGGAGGCGCATCGCCAACCGAGTATCAGTCACTCCTCTGAAAAAGCTGCGGAACTAAGGAAAAGCGGCGAGAGGCATCGTCGCCGTTAAAGCTACTCCCACCACCTCGCCAGCACCATTAGAAGCCACCGACGGGAAGGAAATCCCCAAGCTTGCCCTTCCGCCACTTCCAGCTCACCCTTCTACCTTGACCCTCCTGTTTTTTATGCGCCTCCAGCCTCTCTCTCTCTCTCTGCGAGTCCGAGAGGTAAGCAATGCGGCGTCTGTACGCGTGAGAGAGAGAGAGAGAGAGAGAGAGAGAGATCCTACCTGTCCATGCGATTCTGAGGAGACGCCAGGGGCTTAATGATAGCAGGAGAAATTACGCTTTTCATTAATTAGGCATTTAACTCCATTTAATACCGTCTTAAACGGATATCAGAGGGAGCCGGAGCAACTTGTGAGGTGTTTACGCAAATATATGTAAATTTGGGTATATTGAAAACTTAGAAGGAGCGAGGAGAGAGAATCGAGAGGATGTTTTGTGCTATTGGGCTGCGTGCAACGGCTCCACATTATTCGTTCGGTTGTCGGCCCGTCAAAATCGATGGGGACCAGATGATTCTTCAATCCTGACCGTCCGGTCCACACCGAAAGGCCGGTCGCTGCCCCTCGCAGTCGAATTCCCCGATCATCGACCGTCCACTTTGACAATGAAAGCAAACTTCCGCCGTCCGGTGTCCCGATCTGTGGATTCCTCACGAATCTCGTCACCGACATCCTGTTTCTGAGAAATTTCCAGAAATTTCCAGAAACTTCCTCGTCGACTGCATTAAAAAAGCATATATTAATCAAATTAATTTTTATTATTTTATGTAAAAAATGTAATAACCTCTAGAGGGGAAAAATAACCTGTTGAGGTCCATCCGTTGGACGGACGAGATGGCCTCAAGCGAATGCTGTTAATCACGGACGCTTCTGGGGGAGGTCCCCGTGATCCCAGGAGAGCAGCTGTTCGGGTCAAGATCGATGTCCGTGACGAGGAGGGAGAAAATTGTCCCTTTATAAGGAGTGTATTTTATTTTCATTTAAAATGCCACGATTAAACCAGAGTTCTGTTAAACATATACGCTATGAGCCCATATACGTTATGGGCCGGCCCAGCCCAGCCCAGATCGCCTGTAGCTCCTCCATACAGAACGTAGCAGAAGAGAACAAAATGACAGAACCTGGGTTACCCTTATTCTCCCCACCATTCTCTCTGACGTCTGAAGATCACAGAGAGGAGGTAGAGAAGCTGCACCCACAACCCGGGGAGTCTTCGTCCAGAGCTCCTACTAATCTCCAGTATTAATTACCACCTAATCAAACTCCCCAGCCGAACTGAAGGCAGCCTTCGCTTCCAAAATTGGCTAAATCAGTCCGCCGGCTGGAGAGGGCCGTCTGAGGCGAACCAAAACAGAAAGAAACGTTGACTTCGACGAAGTTGAACCCACCATCAACACAACTATGCACAATTCGACCGCCGGCTTGTTCTTCAGTGATCAGAAGTCAAACCCACAAGACCTCAGGCTGGATCTTGGATTCAGCGGCGATGGTTTCATCTAGGAATTTGATTCCAGAGCCTGGGCATCACCTCGGCGGTATACCCGCTCCTCATGCATGCTGCATTGTTCAAGTCTCTAGCTATGGACGCCACTTCCAGGCCGGGAACTGCAATCTCCTCGGCATATTCAACAAACTCTGGGCCCAGCAAGTTGCTCCCAGGGGCAATCCCCTCTCCGGGGCAGCAGCAACCATGCCCACAACAAGCCGGCACCTGACCAGCCTCATTGAACGTCCTACAGGACTCAGCTTCCGGCCGGGAGGACCTCAGGGGCCGACTGCTGGTGGGGGGCGCATACGGGCTGAAGGCGCTCACCCTCGCAATGGGACGGAACAGGATGGATCGCTCCTTCTCTCTGCTAGGGGAATGGTTGTCGATAACTTGGCCCTTGTCTTCCGACTGATCGCAAGACCTGAAAGAGCTCGCCTCACCGAACGATAAGCCATCCTCTGATGAGACCCTCACCTCCTCCAGGGCGGCATCCCTGGGCTTACCAGCCTCGACACACCGCCGCTTCAGGGTGGAGTTCCAGTGGTTCTTTATTGCGTTGTCCGTTCTCCCTTCCAGTAGCCGCGCAATGGAGGCCCATTTGTTCCCATGGATGGCGTGGGCGGCCACGATGATCCGGTCCTCCTCGTCTGCAGGAAAGAGAGAGGAAGATTTTGCAGAATTTCAGACCAGAGGGTCGTTATATTGCATGTAATCTAAAAAGCAGCTCAGCCTTAACGTCGTGAGCTAATGATCACACCAAGTGAAGGATTTCAAGAGTTCAAAAGGGCTGATTCCTTGTCTGACCCAAGCTTACATAGTTGATAGCTAAAGTTTTTGATTTATGATTAGTGATACCATCTGATCCGATTCAGTCCCGAGGAACTTATAACTAGAGAATTTACAGGGAGAGGAAAAAATTAAAATAAAATTTCAGATGAGAAAGTTGCCATAAATTAATAATAGGGCAAGAATGAGTAAAATACGGTTCCGAGACAACTACATGATCATATGACGTATGCCAAAAGGAATCAAAAGAATTATTGCCCATATGTGGCTCAAAAAAGATTATTAAAATTATTATATCTGGAAGCGGTGAGGATGATATCCCCGGTATTTACAGTAGAATTCCCTCTATTGATGCCATGGAGGACGAAGGAGATGAAAAAATATTGATTTATGATTATACGAAGATAGTTTTTTGCCTCCTAAAAAGATATAGTGATTATATGATCTTCCTGCCACGGAGGACTTCTCCATAGAACCAGACTTTGCACGGAATCACTCCGAAACACAGAACACCAAGACTCATAACACAGAAGTCAGAGTCTGGCTCGACAACAACTAGAATCACAAGAAGTCACAAAACTTCATTTCAAATCAAAGTACGTCTAAAACCCTAATGTGGGTTTCTTGCAAATTCCACACAGTCCAGCACCATTTTCGCATGGAGAAGAAGGTGAATCAACAACCATACTCCACGAGATATCCTCAATCAAGGAAGATGACCGCAAACTTATGAACCCCCTGATTTTCCCACTGCTTCCCGTTCGTCTGGCCTCAAATCACGGAGGGAACAGGGATCCAGTGAGTGATGCAAAAGCTTAAACCAGATGAAAAATGAGTAGCCATTCACAGGAAATACCAAATGGGGTTCTGGAGAAAATACCAGTGAATGGCTGGCGCTTGACAGTGGGGTCGAGCTGGTTGCACCACCGCAGCCGACACGATTTCCCAGTGCGCCCAGGGATGCCCCTGGCTATGAGGCTCCAATTCCTGGCGCCAAACTTGCTCACGAGGCGGCTCAGGATGACGTCCTCCTCTGGCGACCACGGCCCCTTCACCCTGTCCTCCCCCAATCCCCCGCAGCTTCCCAGGGCTTCTCCGTCCTCTGCCGCAGTAGAAGAAGCACAGGAAACACCGGCTGTCGCAGCTTCGCCGCCCTCCCCCCCCTTCCCCAAGAACCCCAGAGGCGAGCCGATGGGTTCCTCCTCGATGCCAGCAACCGCCGCCATGTGCGTCCCCTCACCGTCCTCTCTCTCTCTCTCTCTCCTCTCTCACCCCCCAAGTTTTCAGTTTGGCGGTCCTTCCTCTCCCCGGTGTTCTCTCTCCACACTTTCTCCTACCCGCCTAACGGCAGGTGGCCCCTCAAAAAAAAACTCCGTAGGGCAAATGTTCCAGAAACGTCGTTATTTCCGTTAAACGCTCTCTTCTTTTCTGCAATGACGAATGGATCCCCAAACCCACTTCCCAAGTTGGCCCACAAATTTAGGGCTTCTAGGTGGAAACTTTGATGGGTCCGCCTACAGATTTCCTCCAGCCCATTGGACTACCGCGCAGGAGAACGGACTTATCTAGTCTGGTGTCGGGCCAGGTTTTTTAGTGGGCCTAAATTTCCCCGCGCCCAGAGGGTCTCTCTCTCTCTCTCTCTCTCTCTCTCTCTCTCTCCCCCACTCTTTCCCCCTCCCCGAATGGCCCGTCTAAACTTGGGTTCAAGAGGGGCATAACATGATTTAATGGGCTTTGATCTCGATCTGGCAGTGTGGGTTCTTCCAGCTGTGTGTGTGTGTGTGTGAGAGAGAGAGAGAGAGAGACTTATAGGCTAGAACGGAAAGCTCGGAGACGAACACCGGCCGCCCAACTGAGATGAGGGAGAGAGAGCGGGAAAGAAGCTACAGCTAAAGGCTCGGAGACCATGAACACCGGGCGTATAGCTGAGGTGTGCGTGTGTGTGTGTGTGTGTGAGAGAGAGAGAGAGAGAGATACTACAGCTAAAGGCTCGGAGACCACGAACACCGGGCGTATAGCTGAGATGTGTGTGTGTGTGTGTGTGTGTGTGTGTGTGTGTGTGTGTGTGTGTGTGTGAGAGAGAGAGAGAGAGAGAGAGAGAGAGAGAGAGAGAGACTACAGCTAAATGCTCGGAGACCACGAACACCGGGCATCCAGCTGAGGTGAGAGAGAGGGGCAGGTTTGAACGACGAACGATGGTCGTCCGTCAGTGGTTCCCTCAGATCGGTCTGCCATTTTCTACGCTCAACTGGTTCTTGCAGATGGTGGCCTCGAATCCAAGAGTACTCGCGTCCTTAGATTCGGTATAACATGGAGGGCCCGCGAAACTGGGAGATCGTTCCGTCAACGGTCGTCATTGAATTTATTGGGATTAATTCGTCCGAGTCGCCGCCCCAACCGTGCACGTTTATGACTGGGGGGCGGATCACGTGGTCTTCCCCCGGATGCGCAACTTACGTTTCCGCAACACACGTTACGACAGTCAATTCTCAGTAGTAATTACCGCGGTGTTAAGGTCAACCTCAGTGTTGATAAGTGCGGCGGTCTCATATCTTGAGTAGTAATCATTGACTCATGTTAATTGTCATGGTGTTAAGCATGTGATTGCACAAATTAGACCAGTCCTTTCGTTGACCTTTGTTCGGAGACAGATGGGACTGGTAGTTGTAGAGTCTCAAAGAAAACCGTTGAAATGGTCTGTGACCCCAATCAGACTGCTCTCCTCATCACAGAGAGACTGAGACAGATAGATAGATGGAGAGCGAGAGAGAGAGATTGGTTTTCGGACCGTGAACGATAAGGGCCGAGGCGGAAAACGATCGGGGCGTTGAGGGGGTGCCTACATACCCGACACCTTGACTGACATTGATGAGGACAGCCGCATTTACGTATTGGAACCTTGGGAAAAGGAGACATAATGAACGAAATCGCAAGCGAAGGTATGTCAATAGCTCGACCCTGACTCGACCCGCATATTTTTAAGGAGGACATAAAAAGACGGCCGATAGTCAATCTGCTTAGACGCTGGGTGGTCAAAGTGGGGCTCATGGGAAGCATGGCGTCCACGTTGACACAAGAGTGCAGGTGCGCCGCAAGCAGTAGGAATTACTTCCATTTAATCCATCCCAACCAACCTCGCGGTTGAGATGACGATGGTCTGTCTGGTCTCCGCAGACAGTCCAATCGACTCGGGCGGGCCACGTCGGCGTCAATGCCCGGTGGCGAGATCCACCGGGCGTATAAGTAACCCTCCGCTGCAGTGGCTACCCTTCTCTCCACTCCAGACTGGTTCTCCTTGTTCGTCTCCTGCAAGTCATTGCAATGGCGCAGCTGGCGATCCTGTTGGCGCTCGCCCTCTCCCTCCTCTATACCTCCGCCCGCGCCGCCGTTGTCGAGCACACATTCCGGGTAATGCACGACTCGCCCCTCCTTTGTCCGGCTGCTCCACCATAAATTGCTCATCTCCAAGCGATCGGAACTGGTCCTCCGTCCATTAATGGAGGGATACAACTCCCGGGAGATTCACCTTTGCGTCTGGTAACCCTTTTCTACTTCTGAGTTCAGGTCGGGAACCTCACTGTCCGACAGCTATGCGAGGAAAGAGTGGTGGTCGCCGTGAATGGGAGACTCCCGGGCCCGACGATACAGGCATACGAAGGCGACACCCTCATTGTTCACGTCCTCAACGAGTCACCTTACAACCTGACGATGCACTGGTAAGAGCCGCCCTAGAAGAGGAGAGACCGAGAGGAGATTGATCGTTTCCTCTCTTCGCAGGCATGGAGTGTTCCAGCGGCGGAGCGCGTGGGCGGACGGGCCGGCCTACGTGACGCAGTGCCCCATCCAGCCGGGGCAAAGCTACACCTACAAGTTCGATGTCGTCGGGCAGGAGGGCACGCTGTGGTGGCACGCCCACGCCTCGTGGCTGCGCGCCACAGTCTACGGTGCCCTCATCGTCCTGCCTCGCCCCGGCAGCCAACCATACCCGTTCCCTCAGCCTTACGCAGAAGTACCAATTCTACTGGGTATGGCCTCCGAGCTCGTTGCCCTCATAATGGCCAACAGTTGAACTCATAGCTTCCACCGTTTACCGCGCTGTAACTATGCTCCAGGCGAATGGTGGAATGCCGACGTGGTGGCAGTGGAGACGACGGGCCAGGTGACTGGAGGCCTGCCCAACGTCTCCGACGCGTTCATGGTCAACGGGAAGCCCGGCGATCGGTACCCTTGTTCCAGTCAGGGTAAGCCACTGACCCTCTGATCCATTTTTCACCTCACGTTGGCTGAGGCGGTGGATAAATCTCACCACGTGCCAGCGCCTTCAAATCTGCAGACATGTACACACTGACGGTGGTGCCCGGGAAGGCATTCTTGCTCCGGATCATCAATGCTGCTCTGAATAACCAGCTCTTCTTCAAGATCGCCGGCCACAGCCTCACGGTGGTCGCCGTCGACGCCAATTACGTCAACCCTTACCGCGCCGACGTCGTGGTGATTGCCTCGGGTCAGACCGTCGACGCCCTCCTCGTGGCCGACGCGGCGCCGGGGAGCTACTACATGGCGGCGCTTCCGTACGTCAGCACTGAAGGAGTGGAGTTCGACGCCACAATCGCCACGGGAGTCGTCAAGTACGAGTCAACGCTGCCGTCTCTGAAACCGGTGATGCCGGCCCTTCCGTTCTTCAATGAGACCGCCACCGCTTACCGCTTCTACAGCAGCCTGACGGGGCTGCGGCGGCGGGGTTCTCCGGCGGTCCCGTTGACCGTCGACGAAAAGATGTTCATAGCCTTCGGGCTAGGCCTCATCCAGTGCCCGGACGCCGCCCCCTGCAACGGCGCGCTCGGTGAGAGACTTGCCGGCAGCATGAACAACATCTCCTTCCAGCTGCCTTCGGAGATGTCGCTGCTGGAGGCGAGCTACCACGGCGTGAAGGGCGTCTACACCCCGGACTTCCCCAACCGTCCGCCCAGGGAGTTCGACTATGCAAACCCCGACTTCACCTACGACTTCGGCCTCGTGCAGACGGCGTGGGGAACGAGGGTGAAGAGGGTGAAGTACAACGCGACGGTGGAGGTCGTCCTGCAGAAGACCTCGCTGCTGGCGCTGCAGAGCCACCCCATTCACCTCCACGGCTTCGACTTCTTCGTGTTGGCCCAGGGATTCGGCACGTACAACGCCACCGCGGCGGAGAAGAAGTTCAATCTGGTGAACCCTCAGGTGAGGAACACCATCTCGGTACCCACCGGCGGCTGGGCCGTCATCCGATTCGTCGCCGACAACCCCGGTGAGACACAAGACCTTGTGAAAACATTTTAATGACAGGAACTGAACTGCGAGTATTTATCTTATTTCTTCTGATCTGCTGACGCTGGAACTGGGCAGGGATCTGGCTGATGCACTGCCATCTGGACATCCACTCCTCTTGGGGGATGGCGATGGCGTTCGAAGTGGAGGACGGCCCGACGCCTTCTGCTCGGCTCCACCCCCCACCTCCCGACCTCCCCCGCTGCTGAAACCACTACAAGACCAGTGTTGACCATACTTTTGTTCCCGTCAGTAGGGATCAGAGCTTTACCTATCGGCTTCGTTCAGAGAGATAAAGAGATAGAGAGATGATGTGAAGTTATAAATAGGTTAATGTTGACTTTACTAAGTGTTGTATGTGTTAGCGGCATAACGAGGCCTATCAAAGCTCTTTTATTGTGCTTGGGCCCACCCTCCAGGCAGCCCATTAACAGGGAAAATTAATCCGGCCCACCAACTCCAACAGTTCTCTCGTAGTGGGCTGTATCCAAGGTGACCTTTAAAGGCATGGCCCAACTAGTTCCAATAGCTCTCTCTAACGAAGCTCGGGGAGGCGGCTAACAGAAGTCTCGTCTGCAGACCGCCCATAATGGAGAGTAATGAGTTATCTGCCTGACCGGCCCGAAAAAATAAGAAGCTGACGTAGACAAGCCCTCCCCCCTCTAACACGGCCAAGCGGGCCCAACAACACTTTGGAACTTGTTGGGCTCGCGGCCCATGGCATTTCTGGGATCCAAATGCCCCCATCACTTTCCACTCGGCAGCCCACCTACTATTGTGATAGCCCAATAAAATATAACCCCGGTCGCCTGTTTCCTTCGTAGGCATCATGCCGTGACCCCCGGCTGTTAGACCAAGTAGCTACAAGAGACAAATCTCAAATTCGGACCCGCCGCCACACCGATCTCTGCAACCTCCCTCACATAATCCGAGGGGGTAATTAAATAAATAGAAGGCCCATGGCCTCCGCATGTTATCAGCACCGGTCTGAGCAATGTTCTCTGCTTCCTACGGAGGAAACGAGCGGATAACTCAGGCGAGCTGCGCCTCTCTCTCTCTCTCTCTCCTTACCTTCTCCGCAGGGCGAGACTCTCCGAGAAAGAGCTCATGGGTCATTCGTAGCCATGAAGAACGAGAGGACGCCGGGCAATGCCTCAATTTACTATTATTATTCGTTGGAGGGTTATCAGAGAACCTGAAGGAACAAAATTAGAATATCTTACTCTAAAGATCCCTTCTCGCTCTGAGCCGTCCTTTCTTCTTCATTGCAGCCGACGCCTGGTGGGACGGAGAGGCGAGGATGATCCAAATCCTTTGATGGCAGTAGAGCGGGGCCTATATGTGTTCTGTAAATGGACGACATAATATCAAACAAAAGCGAAGATACCCACAGCAGGGTGAAACTGGAGAGGGAAGGGGGTGTGTTGTCCTCCTTTGAGAATCTACTGATTCTGCAGCTGCGGTAAACAGGGCCTTAGGTGCCCTAGGACCCATTTTCAGAGACTTATCAACAACTGTGCTCTTAGGCCACTATGCAAGTTGACCTTCTAAGAGATATATAGATAAGGGGAGAGAGAGAGAGAGAGAGAGAGAGAGAGAGAGAGAGAGAGAGAGAGAGAGAGAGGTTGAGAATGCGCCGGTGATATGCCTGCAAGCCATTCGACTGCGAGGTTTTCCCTCTCTTCCTCATGTGAGAACCTCCTGCGGGCGAAGGAGAAATAAAAGATCATGAGCAAGGCCGGAAGGTGCACATGGGGTAGGGTCCATCGCAGAGAGGGAGCCGCCACCTGGCCCGAAGCCTTCTCTAGTGCTCCATTAGTTAGTGACAGGAGTGGGGTTGGGTCCCCAGATTCATGTCTAGAACAGGAGGAGCGCCCCCTTCCAGGGTTGTGGACCGAACAGAACTGCACCGCCGCAGAAATTTCCAGTTTGCCGATACCTGCCGTCCCTCCGACTGTACCCCCACCGCCCCAACCCCATGCACGGTGGGATAGAAATGCGAGAAGCCGCGGGGTACTCGGGCAAGAGGAAATAAAATGACGAAAGACGAAGAGGTCGCTTCCATGCATTATATTTAATCTAACTCAACTGAGAGAGAGAGAGAGAGAGAGTCTGGCTACGTGGACGCACACTGCCGTTGTAAGATCCCCCATGCACTCTGGGGTCAAAGGGGAGCAACCCCGGGGTAGTCGGGTGCGGGGAAGTAGATGACGAAAGAGGAAGAGGTCACTTCCATACATTATAATTGATGTAACTCATTTTAGAGCGAGCGAGCGAGAGAGAGAGAGAGGCTAGCTAAGTGGACGCACATGCCCTAACTCGGCGTCAGTGGTTGACGGGAAGCCAAAGAGATTGCTGAATGATTAGAGGAATATGTCAAAGTCGAAATTGATTGCCCATAATGACCTTGTTGATTGCTCCGGTTACTGACCATCACAGGCATGCATTCGTAGGAAGGACCACATTTATATGAAGGCCATGTGCATGGCTCCCTAAGATCACTGATAGCTTTAATAACGCAGTGATCAGTGGTGAGAAAATAGTCGTAGAAATCACGTGAATGGCTCGGAGGTTAGGGTAATTATCAGCATACATTCTTGTATTTTGCTTGACTTAATGAAGCTCTGTATTCGAGCTACGCGACTGCAATTTACTTCACTCTACGAATTGTGGATTGGTTTTAATTCGATGACCCAGTTGTACCGGTTGTTCATCGGGTCTAACTTGTTGTCGAAAACCATTAAGAAACACGCCTAGTTTGTGTTAGAATGATCTTAGATTGGTTTGATTACATTAAAATATGTTTTTAAACACCATGGATCTACCTAAAGCGTTGTTCTACCCTCGTGACACGTTGCCTTAGGGACGAGCTAATCTCTCGCCTTACCTCAAGCTTCTATACCTTGGAACCTCTTATACGAGAAGTTGAGTAGAGGACAGACCATGGGATAGGATGGGGACATTATTAATTCATTGAAGACGAGAAGAGATCGAAAGATAGGACTTAAAAAGCATATAAATGCTTTCGTCGTCCCTTTCCTAGCCGGTGTCTGAGACAGAGAGGCATGGGGAGAAGGGGAAGGAAGAGGACGTGAGTGAAGGATGATGGAGACACGGCGGATTTGGTAGGTGTTCTCGATTTTCCTCTGCTTGTCACCCGAGGACGCATCCAAAGGGATATCGTTGATCCTCCTCCTTTTGAAACCATTTCCACTCGTGGGTAAATGGGTCATGCCATCCTTTTGGTCCATCCTCAGTGTCACTTCGACTGCTCGGTGTTCACCGGAGAGAAAACCTGTTTCAAGGGCTGGATGACCTGCAGTTCCCCGCGGTAGCCGGAGGGGGGGGGCAGCCGTCATGGATCTAGAGCATATCGCTAGTTGAGTCAGTTCGCCGATAATTCTATCGGTTAGATCGAAGCGAAGCCTTTTCTTCTAGTACAAAAGGACGCGTCTGGTTTGCTGATGAAGAGAAAAGAGAGGGATCCCAAGAGGAACAACATGGTTTCCCTCGTTCCGTTTAATCAAACAGTGAGAAGAAGGCCATATTTCTTGTAGAATCTTAATGTTTTTAACTTGAGAAGAAGGCCATATCTCCTTTTCTTATTTAACTTGAATGGAATAAACCCCGTGAAACCCTGCAAGGAAATTACGCTGCGATAGTAGAATTCGAAAGCTGTACACGACTGGTCTTAATGTACTACCAGTTAACTGCCGTGTCATGCACTTCCAGTTCTCTCGAATTTTCAAGTAAACCCGACCCTATTCTCTCCATCAGACTACACGAGCCCCAGCACCTATAATGACTCTAGCCGCTAGTGTTAACACCTTTTGCTTGTTGATAACACTGGATCATCGTATCGTATAATCATGTGATCCAGAAGAGAGAGAGAGAGAGAGAGAGAGAGAGAGATTCCGAACGAAAGTTTTCCAACACAGATCGCCGATCCATCCTAGACAGGTGCATGACAGTAGAAATCGATAAATAAATATTTATTGATAAACATACAGACATTGACAGGGATACCTGCGGAGAGAGAGAGAGAGATAGAGAGAGAGGGGTACAAAAATTAACAAAACAACGTCATACGGTGAAAATCAAAGTTACTTCGCGAGGCTCCTTGCGAGGGTCTGGTAACTATTATTTAGCCCTGCATACGGGGTAACCCTTCATTTATGAATGATAGATATGTGCCGAGGTGCAGAAATAATTTTGGGACAGATGACAATCGCCCTTTCTTTAGACGGCAACCGGAGGAATGGTTTCGACGGCGGGAGCTGGGGCGGTAGGACCGGGGGTGGGCTCGGGGCCCAAGGGCCCGGGGGCGTCCTCAAACGCGATGGAATCCAGTGGCCCGGAGCCTGGGGCGAGCGCGACTCCTCTCATGGACCGGCGGGGGTTTGACCGCCGTGCTGCACAGAGATCCGGTAGGAACGCACCTGCACATTCAAAAGCAGAAGCCGTGGTCAGAAAGAGGATCTCCAGAGCACGCGGTCGCGACGAACGCGCTTATGAGGCCCCACCAGCGGCCCCTTCCGAGTCAACGGGGGGAAGCTATTCCATCACCCTGCGCTAAGGAGAGTGAACCACAAGAAGAGAGAAAGCTCCACGAGGAGCCGTCTTCTTCCTCAAGAAAGGTGGAAAGATCTCCTATCCCAACCCGTTCTTTACCACCTACCCTTCTCCCCACAAGACTCAATCGTCCCCCAGCTGGAAGTTCATTCGCGGGAGATAAAGATGGTTGGGGGTAGGGTATATCACACGTTTTCGCAAGATCCTCGTAGCCCATTCCATGCACGTCACGTTCTACAACGTGCATGCCGAGACGGAAGGTATCGTTTACTGTGGGCCATCAGATCGGCTATCAGCATAATGTCGTTGGAACTCGATTGTCCACCCTGTTCTTACCTTCGGCGGCGGCGAGGTTGAAGTAGAGGTCGACAATGTTGGGGCAGTTCTGGTAGCACGCGGGGGAGCAGAGCTTGGCGGTGAACTCCTGGTCAAGGAGGGAGTCGGAGGAGATGCCCACAGATTCGCGTTCAACGCCGCAGGTCCTCACGCACTCATCGGTCTCGATCCAGTCCGCCAGCTTCTCCACCCTCACCTCCGACGTACGGCACTGGTACTCCGTCGTCCCATCTGCCCGTGGTGCACTCTCCAGCACGCACCTCTTCGACTGTGTCGACACAGAGAATGCGCAGAGATCCTGCGGCAGCTCCTCGCACTCTACCGGCGACCCTGCGACGACGAAACCAAAACACGCCCGTCACCCCTCAATAATACATACGTCATAAAGGAAGGTATGTAGAGAGAGAGAGAGAGGGCGGGAGGGAGAGATTCTATTACCTCTCACGGAAGGAAAGTGAACGATGGAGAGGAAGAGAACGAGAGCAAGAGCGATGGTTGGAGGAGAGGCCATCGCGAGGGGGCGTTCCTGCTACGGGGGAAAGGGGGCGTGGGGAGGTCGATATCTCTCCGGGAGAGGCGGCGGGGGGGGAAAGGATGAAGAAGACCGGAGACAGCTGAGCCGGCGTTTTCCGAGATTTCTCCGGAGGTGTATTTATAGAGGAGCAGTCGGGACGGCCGCCCATCTTCGAAGAAGACTAGGGAGCGGAACCCGTCCCGACCGCCTTCTTCTCTTCTAGATGTATTATGGTCCACGTTGGTGGTCGACCCCTTCCCCCCGCTCAACCCCACCTGTCTCAATAGAGAAGAGAACAAACACCTGGAGTTGGCCGTTGGGTGCTTGAAGCCGCATTAGTCCGTGTTCGAATGGTTCAATTGGGCCTCGAACTTGGTCTCCGCTGGGGAGGCCGCGTGCCCCATCCTGGCACCGTTGACTGCTCTATTCACAACGATACCCGGTACGACACGCCAACGCGTAACGACTCCATCGCCAGACCTACTGGGCCCGCTCCGAATTCCAGACCGAATGTCCACATCTCCGTTCCGCCATCTTTGAGAGAGAGAGAGAGAGAGAGAGAGAGAGAGAGAGAGGAATAAGCGAAAATATGGGCAATAAAAACAAAGAGAGAGGAATAAGCGAAAATATGGGCAATAAAAACAAAGAAAGAGGAATAAGAGAAAATATGGGCAATAAAAACAAAGAGAGAGGAATAAGGGAAAATATGGGCAATAAAAACAAAGAGAGAGGAATAAGCGAAAATATGGGCAATAAAAACAAAGAGAGGAATAAGCGAAAATATGGGCAAGATTGACACGCGTCCAAAGGCGTGAAGAACGCGTATGCTGAAGAGGTCAACACAGCAGTTAATGGGACGGAGACAACCCGCCGGGACCCGTTCCGGTTGGATTTCGTTTTCAGATGGGCAATTGGGCTTTTCTCCGAATCCCCATGCGTACGGTGAGGATGGCCCCCGACGTTGACTCACTAGGACCGTATGGGCTAGTGGGGACACGGGCTGGGATCAGCAACGAGGCTACCAAGAGGGCCGGCATGTACATGAATGAGACCCATAGTTATGTCCATTCATGATATAACAAGATAAGAGAGATGTAGTTAAATTGGTCAATGAATATGGTCCATTGACGCTGGGATTGGCGTCAAGACGTAAGCTTTGAGCTGAGCTCACTTTGGTAGATCGGGCTACCCTGCTGGCGAAATAAGGTTGATAAAATTGGACCACTAGATTAACGTGAATCATAGCCGGCTACTTCTTTGGTTGACTGCCGAGTGGGCCGACAAGATATGCATATTTATCTGAAGTGGGCCGGCCCAGATATGCCATTCATCTTGGAACCGACTTTGGTTAATGGGCTGAAAAGGACCAGAGAGTGACATTCTCCGATCAGACTATCTGCACGATACCGGTATGTAGTTCAATGATGTACATCCAACTAATTCGGGGGAGGGGATCGCTGAGTAAAAGCTACTCAGCACAGATCATATACCAGATGAATGTGGTGAGATAAACCCACTGGACAGAAAAGATGGCCAGTGGAACAGCTGCAATCTCTGAGCTGCATGGAACCAAGCGAGCTACAATCTCTGAGCTCCGATGCGAGGAGCTATGACGAACTGATACCCTTGGTTTGGCCTGCGACCAAAGCTACTCGCTTAGATGGATATCAAGACAGCTGAGCAGGGAAGCAATTGAAGAAGAGGAGAGATTGCTGGCAAGCCTGAGAACTCACCCGGGGTCACTACTTTGACACACTTCGTTACAGATCTCACGGAGGCTACTGAATCATGACCTGCTCACGCAGTAAACCAAGAGGATAGAGGTTGAGTGGTGGACCACATGATCACAGTGAAAGCAGAGAACTAGCTCTTTTTGGGCTTGCATTTACCTCGGAGGACATTAATATCTCTCTCAGAAATCACACCAGTCACGCTTGACGAAAATGGACCAGCTAAGTCACGACCCATCTCTACGTGCACACCTGCACATTCACCTTCCGATCTGTTTTGAACAGCAGACTGAAGCTTTAGGATTAACTTATAAAAAATATCTCCAACAGCAATAAGGAATCCACTCGTGGAGGAATACCCTGAGGTGGCATTAGATGACGGCATGAGGGCTGTATGACAAGACTTGGCAAATTCTTCACACTCGAGATCAATGTTGACCAGAAGATCAGCAAAGTTGAAATCGATGTCGAAATCTGGGAGATCAAGATCCAAGAGGTCTTTCATTCCATCTTCTGATGAAGTAGTGCAAGTTTCAGCAGTCGTTGGAAGCCCAGAGCAAGTTGATGTGACCGAGTCGTCAAAATCAAGCCTGCCTTTCACACGATCCCTTCTGCATACCTTCTGTGGACTTGATTTCATCGGTGACGATATACAGAAACTCTTCTCCACAGTTATGTAACCTTGACTTTTGAAAGGGCTGACAACAATGGTTTTGGAGGAGATGACAGAGCACTTCGAGGGAGTCAACTGTCTGGAAGTACTTGGATTGGAAAGATGGGTTAGTGAAGCATTGGCCGATGAACCCACATTATCAGCCTGAGAAGACGACGCTTGCAGGTGAGATTTAGGTGAAGTTGAGCAGGCATTAGAATCAGGCAGCTGCGTAAGTAAACCATTGGTAACAGCCGATACTTGCATGGAAGAGTTCGTATTTTGGTTGTTTGGAGACACCACACGACTAAGTGGAAGGTTGTGAGTTGTTTCCTCCCTGCCACCCGGAAAACATTGAACTGGAGAGACAACCGACTGCGATTGCCCACGCTGTTTCTTCGAGGGTGCAGACGCTTGAAGAGTAGTCCTTGGAATTTTTCTCTTGCTTCCGCACGAAGGATCGGCAGCTTCACTGGGGAATGCGCTGGGCTGCTTGATATTCCTTGGAATAGGGGATGGTGAAGATCTGGAGAGAGCAGTTTGTACAATGAGACCTGTGACAATTCCGGGAAAGAAAAAATGATTCAATCGAAGTAAACAAAGATTTCATGTAGAAGATCCACGCCTGGGCACTGATGTAGGGAATGCATCCAATGCAGGAGGGAGGAAAAACAAACAAAAACACAAAGAACAGTTTCTTCAAGTAGAAGCTTTCGAGAGATTTAAAACATCAAAGATATCGAATCAGCATCTGCTTTCGAAAATTTTAGCAGATAATTCCTGGCCTGTTTAAGAAAAGTATGCAATCCCGTGATGGCTCAAACAAAGAATTATAGAATAGAAGAAAATTGAATACGAAGATATAGATGTATATCACTTGGTTGCGGTAAAAGTTCAAATTAATATTAATAATGCCGGTGCTCAAAATTACTAGAGCCACTGATCGGCCTCCAATTCATTACGAGTTGGTACAAGATCCCTTGAGAAATCAAAGTCACTACAGATTTAGTTCTACTAATCAGAACGTTCCAGATGCGGATTTGAACATTGACACTAATAAATTATCAGGTTTCTTCCCCTTGATGACAGAACGTAAACTGTATTAGGGGAAAAAAAAAACGTAGAAAAATCTCAGACGTTTGATATTCTACAACACGGCATACTTGACGATAGAATGGTAATTCGTGGATGATGAACAACTGGTGTACAACCAGAAATCGTGACGCTCTTCACTGTCAACCCAAGCACTCACGTTACCTGGTAGAGATCTGTTCGTAGGGACGGTGAGACCCGTGGAAACCGCCACTCCACCGGGCGTAGGCGGGGGAACAGGCGACATCGGGAACGATGGCAGGGGAGGAGATGCGGGTGTATGGACTCCGCTGGTGGCGCAATGGTAAGCATGCATGGCACCATTAATCCCCCGCAGCAGAGCCTCTACCCGCTGCTTCTCTTGTTCAACGATGATCTTTTGCTCCTTGAGAGTGATGTACTCGTCTAGAATGTCCGCCAAACTGAGCAGCCCCTTGGGTGCCTCCCTCGCCCTGGTCTTCGCGAAGAGCTCAGCGGCTTCGGACTGGAACGCCGCGAGGGTGGTCGAGAAATTGTTCTCGGCGAGGTACCTGTTGACGATGAAGGCGATCTGCACAGGGGTCACCTTCCCCTTGCCCAGGCTCACCTTCTTCGGCGGGCTCTGCTGCTTTCCCATCCTTCTCTTCCTCGTGGATCTGAAGACGATTAACCGCAGCGAGAGATGGGCGGGACCGCCGGAAATAGCCCCAGAAGTAGCAGAGACAGAGAAGCAGCGGGAGATTTTCGATCGTTTCCGGCGAGTTTCTCTTCCGCACATTCTTCAAAATCTGCGGGATTTTGGCGCGGCGGAAGGGCGGGAGAACCCCCCGCCACCCCAGGAACAACCGCACCACGTGGTGCCAACGGATCTTACGGCCCATTACGGAGGCCCAAGGGAAACCACAAAATGATTTAACCGAATAATTAATGGGCCCCTTGCTTCTCTTCCCCAGGGACGGCCCCTCGAGGATCACACGATACATATATATATTTTAAAATGCATGTTTATTCCCGATGAAACATTTTCATAATTCTGTTAATAAAAAAATGTGGGTTATTCCGTTTTGACCCGTCCTCTTAGAATTAATTACCAACCGGCCCTCGGTTTTCTCTCGAAAAATGCTTGCGATATTAATGCTTATTAAAAATAATATAAATGACTTAAATAACATCACCAGGATCCCTTTATCTCTTCAAGTGATTGGGCAGTAATGATATTTCCCACGGTTATAAATAAGGAAATGGCCGAATTAAAAGCGGATTATCACCCATCGATAATTATTAATCAGGGGAAAAAAAAAAAGGTGGGGGTGCGCTGATCGTACGGTCTGGGGAACTTTGGATGGGGATAGGGCGGGAGGGGAGCGTGCCGCGTTGTCAGGGAGCCACGCTGGCAGCGGCGGCCAGAACAGGAAGACGACAAGAGGACCACCCGGGAGCGCGCCGAACGTAATAAATTGGGGTCACGCCTTTGTCGCCGTGCTCTGCTGGTCTCGTTTTTTCGCTTATACCCCTTACATTAAAAACAATGTCCGAAAAACCTTCAATTAGGCGAAGAGTCAGATATAGCAGTTTGTGCGCGGGATTTTCGCAGACGGATTTGTAAATGTCTTTACATAATTAATATTAGAGTGAGGGCGTTTTAAAACTTGTGTATTTTGTGAGAATCGAGACGTAAAGTTGTATCGTTAACCGGTGACTGTGACACGGCAGCTTTTGACTGGAAGTCTAGCTTCGGCCTCAACGGGTGACTCGCCTCGTTCCTCGAACGGTCGGCTGCAAGTAAAGGCTCGTCCTTGTCTCCCCGCTCCAGTTCCCCTTCTCTGATTCCAAACCCCCAGATCCGCGAAGCGGAACCCTAACCCTAGAAATCTGTAGCTCCACCGGCGACGGAGGCGCACTCGTGGTATCTGCAGCTCCCCGGCGGCGGCGGAGGCGGAGGTGGCGGAGAAGGAGTAGAAGAACTTGGGACGGTGAGTGGTTGGTGGATGCTTCGCCGACTTCAAGAGGGTGCCTGCTTCTCTGCGGCGGAGATCTGGGCAGGGTTCGCCGACATTGTCTCTTGGAGCTCTGAAAGTCTCAGTCTGGGTGGCTGAACAAGGAGCAAGCTTCGGATCGGTGGGCTCCGCCCCGTTCAATCTCTGGCAACCGGAAACCTAGGCGGCCGCCGGACGAGCTAACTCTGTGAGGTGCTACTATTGGTGGGGATGGTGCTCTCCTTCCTTTTCAGGGGCTCCCTTCTCTCCCTCTGCTTGCTCCTCTCCGCCGGGCGTTCTGTACTCTGCTTGGTGGAAGACGCTTCTTTCTCCTTCTCCTTCCAGGGGTTCCAGGAGACTCCCGGTTCTGAAGCCGGGATAGCTCTCTATGGAGACGCAGTGGTGGTCAACTCGAGCGTGAGGATCACCAAGCCGCGGGCTCTGAGCAGGGGAAGGGTCATGTACAGGAGGCGCCTGGCCTTCGGAAGGAAGCCCAGCTTCTCCACCTACTTCTCTTTCTCAATCTCCCCTCAGAAGGGAGACGGGCTCGCCTTCTTAATAGCTCCGAGCAGCGTCCCGCAGGAATCCCTCGACGGGCGGCTGTTTGGGGTTTCCCCCGGCGTGTTCGCGGTGGAATTCGACACCTCCATGGATTCAGAGTACAATGACCCCAATGGGAATCACGTCGGTGTCGATCTTGGCTCTGCAACATCCGTCATCGTGGGGAACGTTTCCAAGCTCAGCCTGGTTCTTAACAACGGCGAGAAGCTTCACGCCTGGATCGACTACGAAGGGGATTCAAAGATTCTGGAGGTATGCCTGAGCAAGTCCGAGTTTCCGAGGCCGTCGATTCCAGTGGTCTCCTTTCCGGTCGACCTCTCTGGCCTAATCTGGAAGAACTCCATGACCGTCGGCATTGCCTCTTCGAGTGGAAACTCCACTCAGACCAGCGCTCTCTTCGCCTGGAATTTCGCCCTGAAGCATGCCGCCGCCTATCTGATGCACTCGGAGCCGCTGGATCCCCGGCCCTTCTTCAACCCTCCCAACCAGCCGCAGGACCACATGCGGAGAGATTACCTTCCGGGGGTCCTCATCGGCCTCGCCTTCGGGGCCGTCTGCGGCGCCATGGTCATCATCCTCGCCCTGTTCGCTTGGACTGCTTTCATGTACCGGCGTCCGCTGGGGCCCGTCGAGTATTCCGTCCATCCTGTGGAATGCGAGAATGAGAAGATGGCAGCTGCGGCTGCATACCTGTCGGCCGGCGGCGCCGTCAAGGTCTGAGGCTCCTGAGGGTGGCGACGCGTACTCTGCTGTAAATTGCTGATCCCCGAAACTGCTTTCTTTCCTTTTTCCCCTTCTTTTGTCGGTCTTGGTCTTCTTCTTCCTTGTACTCACGGAGAGCATAGCTGCTGTTGATTCCTTCAAAAATTTGATGAGAATCGATCTCCTACCCTCCTGTTTTGGAAGTCAACAGGGTTAGACACCAGCATGAATCTGGATTCGCATCTGTGGATGCGAGACCGCCCATCTGGATCTGGGGTTAGGGTTAGATTGGCCGATCCTCCAACCATGAAGAAGCCTACTCAACCTAACCTGAAGGTCCCCATAGCTCCCACCCTAGAGGTCTGACCAGGAGGCGCGGGTCAACCCTCACTTGGGCGAATTCCTCATACGATCTCAATGGAGATGGGTTCCTCGCTCTTCGGTCGCTCCCCTTAGTTCACCTCCACGGTTGCTTCATGCTTCCATCTTCATCATGCAATTAGGCCGGATGTGTTGATGGAGAGATAGGACATTGGTAAATGTCGATCTCGCAAAATACAGAGGGTACACAATGATCACTGGGTTTCAGGGAAACCATGATTTGGACATTATTTCGTTAAGGAGACTGCGAAGTGTGGGTTCCTCCTCTCTCTCTCTCTCTACCCTAGAAACATGGATGCAACCCAAAAGGCCATTCCAGAGATATGAAGCAGGGGTTCTCGCATGCAAGAGAACGGGAACAAAAAAACGGGGAGGAAGGATCAGAGGCGCCGCAGCTTCAGAAGCTCTCCCTCAGTTGACCTCGGGATCCTCTTCTTCCTCGTACTCTTCCTCCTCATCGGCTGTGGCATCCTGGTACTGCTGGTACTCCGAGACCAGGTCGTTCATGTTGCTCTCCGCCTCCGTGAACTCCATCTCGTCCATCCCCTCCCCCGTGTACCAGTGCAGGAAGGCCTTCCTCCGGAACATGGCCGTGAACTGCTCGCTGACCCTGTGGAACATCTCCTGGATCGAGGTGGAGTTGCCAATGAAGGTGGCGGCCATCTTCAGCCCCGTCGGCGGGATGTCGCACACCGTTGACTTGACATTATTGGGGATCCACTCCACGAAGTAGGAAGAGTTCTTGTTCTGAACGTTGATCATCTGCTCGTCCACTTCCTTGGTGCTCATCTTCCCACGGAACATGGCAGAAGCGGTAAGGTAGCGCCCGTGCCGGGGGTCGGCGGCGCACATCATGTTTTTCGCGTCCCACATCTGCTGGGTGAGCTCCGGCACGGTAAGCGCTCGGTACTGCTGGGACCCCCTCGACGTCAGTGGAGCGAAGCCGACCATGAAGAAGTGAAGCCGAGGGAAGGGGATGAGGTTGACGGCCAGTTTCCTGAGATCAGAGTTGAGCTGGCCCGGGAACCTGAGGCAGCAAGTGACTCCGGACATCGTCGCAGAGATCAGATGGTTCAGGTCGCCGACTGTCAGCGGAAATAGCAGAACGATCAGGCGCACATATTTGGGCAGAAATAATTGAAGAAGGCGTAGAGTGAATCCTTACAGCTGGGGGTTGAGAGCTTGAGGGTCCTAAAACAAATGTCGTACAGAGCTTCGTTGTCCAAGACCATACACTCATCCGCGTTCTCCACCAGCTGGTGCACGGAGAGGGTCGCATTGTAGGGCTCGACCACAGTGTCCGAGACCTTGGGGGATGGAAAGACGGAGAAAGTGAGCATCATCCGATCTGGGTACTCTTCCCTGATCTTTGATATCAGTAATGTGCCCATGCCGGACCCCGTACCCCCACCCAGTGAATGGCAGACTTGAAACCCTGCACAAATTTTCGTAGAATAAACTCATTAGAACCAGCTCTGATATGCGTCATCAGTAAATAAAAACTGAGGTAGGATTGGCCAGAATTCAACGTCATACGTCGATTTTTTCCTTTGCGGATGTATAAAAAACAACATTGCCGTATATCCCAGAGATAGTAATAGTACAGCTTCTCGACAGAAGAGTGAAATAATAGCTATAAAACCAAAGATCCACCAAAGGATGGAAATAACGTGCTTTCCCCAACAACAGCCGCATCGTGAACGATAGGAATCCAAAAGGGATTGAGAAAAAAATGCTAGAAAGATTTTTTAAATAATTATGACAGAAGAAATAACAGCAGTGAAATGCTTACGGAGAAGAAGACGCGTAAATGGTAGCAAAAGAACAGATACGAGCAATGCTAAGAAGATTTCAGACAATAAATACCACATCGGGACGAAGGCAGAGGAGGAAGAGGAACTTACCCTGGAGACAGTCGCAGTTCTCCGCCTCCTTGCGCACAACATCGAGAACGGAATCGATAAGCTCGGCACCTTCGGTGTAGTGACCCTTGGCCCAGTTGTTTCCGGCTCCGGACTGCCCGAACACGAAGTTGTCCGGGCGGAAGATTTGGCCGTATGTCCCCGACCGGACACTGTCCATGGTTCCAGGCTCCAGATCCATGAGCACTGCTCTGGGAACGAACCGACCGCAACTGGCTTCATTATAGTATACGTTCACTCGCTCGAGCTGAAGATCGCTGTCACCGTTGTACCTCCCTGTGGCGTCGATGCCGTGCTCGGCGCAGACAACCTCCCAGAACTTCGCCCCGATCTGGTTCCCGCATTGCCCGCCCTGGATGTGGAGTATCTCACGCATCTTCGCAACGACTACAGTTCCGAGAGCAGAAGATTGCAGGGGGAGGACCAGGAGAGAGATTGGCCACCGGTTAGGACCAGAATTTGGGAGTGGCGGAGAGGGGAGAGTACGGAGCCAAAAGTAGACGGAGATGGAGGGGGATTCAAACTATTTTGAATCTGAAAACGTGGACGGCCAGGATGAGCGCCGGAGACCGGGTGGGAAAAACGAACGACGATAAGCTCCCCTTCTCTCTGATTTCTTCTTCTCGTACGATTAGCTCATCTCTACCGTCCATTTAATAGAACTCCCAAGCAGATCCCTACTCTCCCTGTTCGTGCCTAAAGGTCTTCGTAGAAGCTCCGCATTGGATGTGAGCTACAGGTGAGAACTCTCTCTCTCTCTCTCTCTCTCTCTCTCTCTCTCTCTCTCTCTCTCTCTAGTTTACAGTTTCTGCTCACAAATTATCACCGAAATATATCGTCTGAAATGATATTTTTTTTATATTACAGAATGAAGAACCTTGCAATTATGATAATAACTATTTGACTTCGGTGAATGATGAAAAAATTACCATTTTATCAGATATCGGGTCGTCTAGATCTTGCCGGCGTGAAGTCGACGTCTGGCATCGTCACCCACCCCATTGACGATCTGCTTCCCCTCTCTCCCTCTCTCAAGTTTTCTGTTTGAGGTCACAAATCGTCACTGACATCTATCGATGAAAACGATAGTTTAAAAATGACAAAACAACCGTGCTTATAATTGAAAGAAAGAAAAAATTCGAATATATATTTTATATTGTTGAATCATAAAATAACATTTTGTTATCGATTAATGTCGTCGAAATGTTGACGGCACGAAGAGGATACGCCCCCGAGGTCTAAAGAAATGGAGGCGGCATTTATTCTCGTAGTTCACGCGTGAGTTGAGTCTCGTCGTCAAATCAGCTTCCAAGGCTGAGATTTAACAAAAGCCATAACAAATCCCGTAGTTCACGGCTGAGATCGGTGGCATTGGCGCCATAAGCAACATAAAAGTGGCGAGAGGGAGAGAGAGAGAGAGAGAGTATTCTCCGACTTGTGTGGGCCGCTGTTAGTTGAGAATGAGGCACGTTTAATGGAGACTCCAAACAAAACTGGTGAGTATTCGACGATAATTTGTGAGATGAAACCGTGAACGAGAGAGAGAGAGAGAGAGAGAGAGAGAGAGAGAGAGAGAGAGTATTCCGTGACATGAGTGGGCTGCTGTTTGTTGAGAATGAGACGTTTAAAAGAGATTCCAACCAAACTGGTGAGTATTCAACGATAATTTGTGATCTGAAACAGTGAACAAGAGAGAGAGAGAGTGAGAGAGTGGGAGAGAGAAGGCACGTCCTTGATTGGGTGACGACGCCGGAGGTAGACGTCGTGCCTCCATCGCGGCGACCTAAGACCCGATAAAAGTGGTAATTTTTCATCACCGGAAGTGATGAAAAATTAACCGCGGGATCTTTCTACGCTCGAGGATGGCCCCCCGTTGTCGCCCCGGCTGGTCGTCATCGCTGGAAGGCCGCAAGTGGGACATCAGGTCGTCTGTTACGGATGCTCCTCCCCATTGCGGTGCTTGGGCCCCGTTTATATAAAGAAGCTCGACGGGGAGCGGACGGGGCGGAAGCATCTGGCTGGTGGCTGGAGGACGGTTCCCACCGAGATGCTTCAGCGCCGCCGGCTTCTCTGAGCGGTTGTTGGTGGATAGAGCGACCGGCGGCTCGGTGACGATAGGGGACGTTGGAGACGTGGAGAAGAGGTGGAACGACGGGGGCGAAGGTTTGGCCGTGTCCAGGGACACCGCTCACAAAATTGGCCAAGGTGAGAATTCAACCTTGCTCCTTCTTCGACGTTCTGTCCTGCTATCTGTGTGAATACAAACGAGGAATCAATGATGCATAGCGTTCTAGTTTCTATCGTCGTTGACTCGAGTTTTGACTTGATTCTTCAGAGGTCGGTGAAATAATGGCATGCCTTGTTATCGATATTGATGTTCTGGTGTTGTTTCCGCCTCTACTTCTCTCTGACGCCTGTGAGATTCAATCCACTGTCGCATATTTACCTCACCAATTTCTCGGTTACCTTCTCAAGAACACCTTCAATTCTACGCTAGTGGTAACCGTTAAGAGTATTTTAATCACTTACCTTTTTTTTTTCAAAAACATTATGCTAATACTGTTCTTACTGCATGATTGTCCTACAAATGACACACACACACAAAAATTAAAATTAGTTTATATAACTAGATCAGACATTTAGCCAGGGATAATCACTACATACAACATTTGCACCAATCTCATCTGATCATTTCTTTCACTTGGTTTTGTTTTCGGATATCTTCCATGTCCCTTGACATCTACTCCAATCTATCTAACTTTACAACTGTTCTATGAATTTTGTAGATCCCTGGTATCAAGCAGGGTTTGTACTCATCACTGGTACGAATAGCGCCTATGTGTTGGGGTATTCTGGGTCAATCATGGTTCCTTTAGGTTGGGCTGGCGGCACGGTGGGTCTAATTTTAACAGGAGCTATTTCACTGTATGCAAACACTCTGATTGCTCGCCTTCACGAGGTCGGGGGAAAGAGGCATATCAGGTACAGAGACTTGGCTGGCCACATCTATGGTAAGTACTCTTTCCAATCTCCAGACGTATTTCACACCATCACATGTGAAAATAATTTATTTAACTTTATTTTTATTATGACATTATTCAAAAAAGATTCTGAGCATCCATCTTTGCCCCAATTATTTTTTTTTTCTCCCGAGCCAGCATTTAATTTACATACGAATTTTACTTCTTATTGAGTACAGGCAAGAGAATGTATTTCATTACGTGGGCGCTGCAATTCCTAAATCTTTTTATGTTCAACACTGGATACCTGATCTTGGCTGGACAAGCTTTAAAGGTTTGATGTGATGTTTTTCACACGTATATGATCCAGTTTACTTTTAATCCATTGATCTTCATTTTTATGCAGTAAGCACGAAAATCCTTCTTTTTAATATAGTTTTTTTGTCGATCAAAGTGCCCTTGTATTTCATTTATTTGCATAGTGTTTGTCCACATCCATTTTGTCTGACTTTCCCTGATTGGCCGATCCATGTGTTTTGATGAAAGACTACTTGTTACACGGCTATACACGTTATCCCTTTGAGTGAGTAAATACACCACATTTTTCCACCACTGACGTTTCAGTGGATCGGCCAATCCTAGGGTTTCTTCTTATTAATATTTTAGAAGGTCACTATCCTAGGGTCTGTTTATATAGCCTCTTGACCAAAAAATATTCACTCAAACGTCCTTCCATATTTTATTAGTAGCCGACCCTCTATGTTAGCTCTCTTCGTGCATTTTTCTCATTTTATTATAGAACATTGCATTTCTGGTCGCTGCATATAAGCTCTCTCCGTCTCTTCCTCTTAACCTGAAAACAATGATTCCCCCTATCTTAGGGAACGGAAAATCCTTCAGCCATCACTTCTACGTTTGACCTGGGCTAATCAATGCCCTCTATGGAGAATCAAATGCTTTTCTTCAGAGGATATTTTTCCGCAATCAGCTCTATTACTTGTTTATTATCTCTATCTTAAAACTTCTGGAAATTTTCTTCGCGGCGCAGGCAGTATATGTTCTCTACCGCGACGATGGAGCCTTGAAGCTTCCGTACTGCATTGCGATTGCTGGTGTCGTCAGCGCTCTATTCGCTTTCGGGATTCCTCATTTGTCAGCTCTTAGAATCTGGCTGGGCTTTTCCACGTTCTTCACTCTCATCTACGTAATCGCGGCACTCGTGCTATCAATTAAAGACGGTAACCACCATGCCCGCTCCCATGTTTTTTGTTGGTCTGGTTATGATCACTCCTCAATTCCACCCCCCCACCCCGTGAAAAGCCCTAGCATCTGTTTCTGCTGCAGGAACCAACGCCTCGGCCCGGGACTACAGCATCCCGGGATCAAAGATGAACAGGATCTTCGGCATCATCGGTTCCATGGGCACCCTCGTCTCCCTCGGCAACACAGGCATTCTGCCGGAGATACAGGTTACGAACGAAGCTCCCCCATCTATGATCTACATATAGTGCGCTCACCGCGTTTTCACCAATCATCTGGTTCTTTCACACGCAGGCCACCCTGAGGCCTCCTGCTATCAGGAACATGGAGAAGGCGTTGCGGCTTCAGTTCACTGCCGGCATGTTGCCTCTGTACGCCGTCGCCTTCACGGGCTACTGGGCATACGGGTCTTCGACATCGATCTATCTCCTCAACAGCGTCAACGGCCCGGTCTGGGTCCTGACGCTGGCTAACATCGCCGCATTTCTTCAGACAATCGTCTCCCTCCACGTACCTCTCCTCTCCTCTTCAATATCGGCCTCGGTTTTTCGAAATTTAATCTGTAGCTCAGCATCTTGCTCTGAACTGTACGCAGATCTTCGCCAGCCCAATGTACGAGTACATCGACACGAGGTACGGGATGGACAAAGGCAACGCCTTTTCTTTCCACAGTCTCTTGTTCAGAGTGGGCGTGAGAGGAGGCTACCTGGCCATAAACACGCTGGTGGCCGCCCTGCTGCCGTTCCTGGGGGATTTCATGAGCCTCATCGGCGCCTTCTGCAGCTTCCCCGTCACCTTCGTCCTGGCCAACCACATGTATCTGACGGCGAAGAAAAGCAAGATCTCAGTGCCGCAACGTGCATGGCACTGGTTGAACGTCGTCGGCTTCAGCTGCCTTGCTGTCGCTTCCGCAGTGGCGGCCCTCAGATTCATCGTCCTCCACTCCAAAACTTACAACGTATTTGCAGATCTGTGAGGCTACGACCGAAGACAAAGCTTGAAGTGGTGCTTGTTTGATTTGATCTCAATATGGTTAAATATACATAAATTATATATTATGAGTCTATGTTAAGTTAATTTTTACTAAAGTGATTCATTAAGGATTAATAAGAGCATTTCTCAGAAGTACGGGGGGTTAAATATGTGCAGAGATCAAGCCATATTCTAATTTTACGATGTACAAAATTGAAAAAGGACGCCAAGAGTCAAACGGCATCTTACTTATAAATAAGAGGTTTTTTTTAGATGTAGGTATTTTAGAATACCTCTTTCTTCTCTCTCTTCTTCTCTCCCTCTAGCCAACCTCGAATCCATGACCTCGTTTGGGAATGGTCAACCCCACCCACTCGGCCACGAAGAGGCTGGCTATAAATAAGAGGTTAGCTCCTTAGTTCACATATTTTTTGGGTGTTAGGAGGTACATTTCTAAGATCTCCACTATGCTGATCCAATCAGACACTAAATCATTATGCTTAATTTTAACCTATCTAATCAGACATTAGCAAACTTGGGACATTGCCTATTGAGATTGATGGGCAATTATAAAACATAATCAGAATGAATAAAAATCATATATGAATCTATGAAGGCACAAGTACGAGAATGACCTTTTGGCTTAGTACAAAGAAGACATCTAATGACTTACTCTAGAGAGATTTGATTCTCTAAGAGTGACTCACAATGTGTGACCCAAGGACCATGGCCCCCTATTTATAAACAATAGGTGGTTAACCTCTTGATATCTTTTTCCAATTTAGCTCATTATAAAATTAAAATAAGACCCAATCTCTATACATTTATATTTTTGCCCTTACTTATGAGAGATGTCATAATTTCAAATACTTAAACTATAATGAATCACTTTAAGTAGGATTAATTTAATGATAATCTCATAATATATAATTCATATTATATCATTATTCACATTAAAATTAATTTCAACAGAAGTACCTAACGACTTAACCATCGCTAATTGTTGTTAACCTGACACGCCCATCAGTGATAAGAGATTGTCAACTAATAATGACCAAATGAAGATGTCATTATCAATCACGTAAAGTGGCAGCTACAAAGAAAAGACCTTGATGGAAGATAGGTCATGACAAAAAAATAATCAAGAAATAGGAGATTGACCATCTCTAACTCAAACATTATTTAGTGAAGATTGTGAGCTCCCTTCTTCAGTCCTTGCACCAAACTCCCTTTCATCTTTGTCATCTTCTATTACTTTATACTTTGTTGTCTTCACAAACTTCTATATTTCCTCTTGACAGATTCCACTTTGAAGAATGATCTAAGGTTATTTATCTTTATCTTGGGCAGTCTCTTCCACTTTTTGTTAGGTTCCATCATAGTGGTATTAGAGCCACTAGAGTCATGCTGCAAAAAATCAATGACCTTAAGATGGACTTCCTCAAGAAAGAGTTGGAGGACATTCGAGAGGTTAACCCAAACCTCCAATGGAGCACAATGTCACTATAGATACACTCCAAAAGAAGCCATGGGTCTTAGGCTATAATTGGTGCCCTCAATGGCCTATGATGAAATAAGGCTCCAAAGTACCTTGCAAAGAAAAGAAGAGCATATGGTTTCTGAAAGTATCAAGTAATAGTCGACTAGATCTCAATAAACTAGATGCTACCAATAGAGTCAACAATCAACAAGATCACTGCAACCCTGTCATACTACACCTTCCCCTCACATAGAACTATGGTATGGAAGGTATAAACTCAAAGATGCTTGTGTCTGATGGCTAAGACCCAAAAGGTGAGATTTGTCAAGCATAACTATACTTCTCAATACATCAACTCTCAATGTGGATGTAATTATCAATGACTTGTATCAATCTAGAAGGAAGGGAACTCGCATGATTCAAATGAACCAAAATGCAATAACCTTTATGTAACTAGAAAGACCTCCAATGTCAACTCGAGCATTTCAGCTATACTAAACGAGCTCTCTCTATTATAAGTACTTCGATATCAAATAGATAGACTTTGTTTGGGAATTTCGAGAGGAGTCTAAGCTGATGGCCTTAGTCCTCAGCCACCTCCCTCAAGGGGTTGAAGTGAGAAATTCAAGTTGAGGTGGCCATGCTTGCCCCATTGGGACTCAAGGCAATGATGAGGATGGCTCAAAAGGTTAAAAATCAAACATATGGCATTGAAGGAATCAACTGCAGGAGGGTGGAAGTCATGGTTCCTCCACACCTAAAGGTTTGACCCTAGGTTACAACCTTCAATACCTTCAATGCTAATCATTCCCTAAGTATACTCCCTCAAGGAATTTCAACAAAAGATGGGGGGTCTAACATGGCTCTAGAGGAGCCATCTACTAGAGGTAGCATACAACTCCAACTTACTCTAATAGAGTTGCATGTCCAACATGCTCAAGAGCTATGTTTCTCTCACAACAAAAGATACTCCCTAAGGAATCATTGTCAAACTACAAGTTTTGGCCATCCAAGGGAAGCTTAGATAGAAGCTCAGATAAAATCAAAGCATATAAATCAAGATTAACCCTAGTAAAGATGATGATTTCACCAACCTCGAAGTCAATACATTGAATGAATGATCCTCTATTCAAGATTTCAAGTTACAAGAGAGGATTGGGAAATATATATAGCTTTGGTAGACATAAGGACCTACCATAATTTCATCTCTCAAGTGACTCTGGGCAAGTTTGAGCTTCCAAGATTAGTCATCTCTCCCTTCCAAGTTATCAACATGACAAGAGATAAGATACAAGGAGCCTTAACTTTTCATAATGGTTATATAAAAGTACAAGCTCTAAATATCCATAGATCTCATGCTTCTACTAACAACCATGGATCTTGTGCTTGGGCTAAAATGGCTAAGCACCCTACACTAGGTCAAACTGATTTTTTGAATTATACTCTATTAACCACCATTAATAATAAGCAGATCATCCTACATGTGGAGGCTTCTCTTTAATGTGTTGACATCTCACTCAATGAACAAACCATAGTTTGCAAGCTATGGACCTTGATGGTCTAATTATTTCAAATCAGGAAGGAAGATGAGGATCTGATCAAAGATGCTCTTTTTTGAAACATCCTATATCGACAATACCAAAAAGGATTTTCTCTAAGAGAAGATCTACCTCCCCTCCATGATATTGACCACTCCATTCAGTTGGTACCCCCATTTCCACAAGATAGAAATTGAAAAGATGATCTAAAAAATGTTGATATCATGCTTAATACAAACTCTCATAGCTCATATGCAAGCTAGGCTTTGTTGGTTTGAAAAAAAGATAGAAGTTGACATTTTTGTGTCAACTATAAAGCACTAAATTAGGTGACAACTCTAATAGATGTCTAATTCCAATTGTCAAAGAATTACTAGATGAGTTATATGGCAACACTATCCTTGTAATATTGAATCTTAGATTTAGCTATCATCAACTAAGAATCAATGAGTTCATTATAATGATGTTCTGTATATCCAACAAATTGACAACATTTAAGGCACTCACATATTATTTTTTTAATTATCTCCTTCAAAATTTGTTGTTATCTTCTTTGATGTCCTAATGTATAGATGATATCTTAATTATCATGAGATAATAATTAATTAATAATATATTTTAAAAGTCTTAACTCATAATAAATAGACTTTATCTTTATGTTAAACTAAGAAAATAGTTTTAATTAGTTAGTGTGAATTTTTATTAATTATGTGATTTTATATAAATTTATATTATTTTTAAAATCATATTTTTGAGATAAAATGAAGAGAGATAAAATACAAATAAATATAAAAAGAGGGGACCCGCTGGCTAATTGGGCCCACAAGTGGGTTAGAAGCATAGTTGGGAAGAGCCATGACTAGAGGACTCGATTAGATAAGACCAATTGACGGCATGTGTGCATCACTCTCTTTGAACATCACCAATGACTAATTGGGTGTGAGGTAAGGAGTGGTCATACACATGTGAGAGAGAGCATATTGATAGTAAGTGTATGAAGAGACATTTATCTATCTCATACATTAGGAAATAATGAATGTGGGACTAAATTTGGGCCACCACTCACTGTTATCTATTTTTAATAGTTTTATATTAAAATATTCTTGATTGATAAGAAAAAGACACCTTTATGACATCACTTGGCAAAGGTATTTACATAGTTATTTAACTCTCTCTCATACATGTGGGACACTAGCAAGGGTTTGAATCTCACTATGGCTAAAACTTATATTTTTATTTGATTAACTTGTGATTTTTTATAAAGTGTATGTCAATGATTAAGTCACTATAATCACTCAATCATTAACGAAAATGTCACCAATGTGATTTGTGAAACATTATTATCAACTATCAAATAATTATAGATAAAATAATCATAAATTTATCAAAAAAATTATCTTTGATTGATTAACGATCAAGCCATCATCAAGAAGAGGATGATCTACTAGGAGATGAGTCATCACCTCTTCAAAACATATCAAATGTGATGAAGAGGCTCATCGTGCTATGTGGACCTAAAGATAAAACTCTATAAGACATGTCCACCTCCATCCAATTTATCTACATTGGGTGATAGCCACTAAAGATCTAAAAGTTATCATATTTTTACTCTACCATGTGATAGCAACTGGAGATATGGTGCTTGTGCGCAGGCGCCATGCCGCGCACGGGCGCCATGCATTATGATTTATAGACTCATTTCATTAATTTTTAGACTTAGCTAGAAGATTTAATGATTGCCCATGTCATCCATATCTAAGTAGATCTTTTGAGGTTATGAGTATTGCACAATAATCCTTTCAAACATAAAATTCTGGTGATCGATATTGTAAAACTAAAACTCTACATTTTTTACTTTAAAATTATTCTTTTCTTAAATTTGTGAGATTTTTTATAATCATAATTGGATATTTTGATTTTATAGATCTTAATTTAATCAATTAAATCAGACATAATCATTTATGTAAGAATCAATGGATGGAACTCTATTTTCTCCTAAATCACATTTTTCAAAGCTTTGACATCATACTAAGGTTTGCACCTAATTTTTTTGTGAGTTTTTAAATATATTTTATTTTCATCATTTGGTCTAAAAATTATAAAAAAGTGTATTATTTGAAGAAAATTATGAAATCCTTCCATGTATTATCTTACATCCCTCTAGTTAATCTAAAAATTTCTTGCTATTTTTTGAAGCTTTTGCTGAATTAGAATTGATTTATTTGTACTAAAGTATTTCTAAAAATATAAAAATTAGTGTTTTTTATTTTTATAAATGTTAAATTACATGATTTATTATACAAAAATTATGTCACATCAATAGTACAAATTAAGAATTATATCAAGAGCACAAGTGTCAAATTTTATCTATTTTTTACAAGCACCAACTTCACATCAACCCAACAAAATGTATCATAGACAAAGCTCACTTATTAGGGCCACCTAATATTTGTAAATGATATTTATATTGATAATGGCAAGGTAGAAGCTGTCCACTAACTTTTCAGTGTTTCATAGATTTCTCAACTTCACAAGATACCATCAAATGCTTATTACAAGCTATGGCTCCATCATGTGACCTTTGAATCAACTATTAAAGAAAAGTGACTTCTAATAGAGCAAGGAGGTAGCCACCACCTTTCAGCACCAAGTGGCACTCACCAACCTACACGTATTGACTCTTTTCAATTTCACACAATCATTTGAGCAAGGACAGTCATGTTAGGTCACACTATTTGACCAATGTTCATGTAGATACGTTGATAAATTGTCTTATTCAGCTGGGTCATCTCCTCTATTTGATGTCTAATGACAGTGTATGAGCGGGAATTCATAGATATTGTCTTTGAAATTTTGAAGTGGCAGCACTATCTTTTTGGTTGTGAATTCATTATTTTTACAGATCAATAGAGCTTAAAGTATATTTTGGAGCATCAACATATCCTATTCAAATATCATATATGGCTATACAAAACAAAGTCTACTGTAAGATGGGAAAGGACAACAAGGCCACATATGCACTTTAGTGCCAACCACAATCTGGTCAGCCACAACTCATGAATACCATTTGTTTGACAAGGAGCTCAACCATGACCCCCACCTTTTTCAAATTCTTTCAACTCTTAAATAGGGAAAAAGTTAGGGGAATTATACACTGCATAGAGGCTTGCTTCTTCACTATGGACAATTGGTACTATCGTCAACCTCTTCTCTCATTCCAAAAATTCTGAAGGTATTCCACAATTCAGCCTCAAGTGGTTGATACACTAATTTTATATGATAAATAAGGTAATATATATATAATACATTATATATATATGAATTAGAAGACATTTACTTATCTTGAAAGAATATATAGAAAACTTATGATTAAACTTTGACTTTAGATGATTTATATTTATTAATTTATTTGATATTTTAATATTATATGCTAATGTAATCATCCACATTTTATTACCTTTAAATATATTTTATCTTTTCTAATAATATGTTTTTAAGTTATATTTCAAATTATATTTTTTTGTGATTGTTAAAAAAAATAAAATTGTGTTGAAAAATGTGGAAAGTAAGCTAAGGCCCATTGCTTAGGCTCCAATCCCACTTAGACACATAAAAATGAGATTTAATCCATAGTTTGGCTTAGTCAGCAAGCTCATGTGTCAGCCTTTAAAATCACATCAGCTTGGTCAAAAAAGTAAGTCTACGAAAATTGAGAAAGAAATAACAACTTACCTTTGAATCCTTTGCATATCAGATCTATTTTTTAGAGATATTAAGGATAAAAAAATCATGATTTATTACCAAAATAGAGAGAAACGAATTAGGGGAAAAAAGAGATATCTTGACTGATCATGGCTTCTCCCTTCTCTTGGGAGAGAGGACATCATTCTTCTCTTTAGTGACACAAAGAAGTATGGGGAGATTTATCTTCTCAAGTAAATTTCATGATTTTATTTTTTTACTTTTTTAAGTGCTCCCTCTCTTATTTATACTTCTTTTGAATTTCCTTTAAATTTTTTTCATTGCTTGATTTTTCCTTTGAAGCTCTTCGTCTATGGTGATGAAGCTGCAACGTCATTTTTGAGTATTCTCTCTCTTGTTTGATTGTGATTTTTCAATTTCTATATTTCATTTCAATTGATTATATATCATGTGAAGTGATACACATGGTAGGATCAATTATCATTTTCATTTATAATATTTTGTTTTATTTTTTTAAAATTTTAGTTAGTTATAAATAATACATTCCATCATTTCATCACAAGGGTAAAATTTGTCACCATATTGTCTTCTCCTTGCTTTTATTTTTGGTTTGGTGAGGTTACTCTTAAGGAGCCCTTGAATGAGCATGAATTGAACATAATCTAGAGGCAATTTAGACATCAATAAGAACAAATGAGTGCAACTCTGACAACTTGGCAATAACATAGATCATTTGATCTCTATCTTTAATTTTTAGGTATTTAACTTTTAATAAGTGTTGAGAACGAATTGGAAATATATTTTTTCTTTCATTCATGTGGAAACGAACTGAATCCACTAAATTTATTGTTCAAAACATATTTAAAATTTAGTTTAGGAATTATTAAATTTTAGTCATCTTATAACACAATGATTAAAACCCACCATTAGCTACTTTGGATTCATGTGCACCTAAAAGCGAATTGATCACTCTCACCAGCATGGTTCCTATGGCTTCTAAGGTGGATCAAGAGGACATCTTGATGGACTTCATCAAAGTACTTCTCAAATATGAGGGGTTCAACTCTATTCTAGTTGTCATTAATAGACTAAGTAAATATGCACACTTCTGCACCCTCAAATATCCCTTCACTTTCGAAATTTATTGCACTCCTCATCAAGGAAAACATGTCCCTAAGAAATTCCATCCTCCATCATCATAGACAGAAACCACATATTCATGAGCAATTTTTGGAAAGAGCTATTCAAATTCTAAGGATCATGTCTCTATCAGACGAGCACATATCACCCCAAATGGATGGGCAGACCATAGTGGTCAACCACATTCTAGAAGCTTACTTACAATGCCTTATAAGAAAATTCATGCAACAGTTAGCCAAGTGTATGGCTGGGGGAAAGTTCTGATTCAGCATAAAATTCAACTGTCCACTAGTACCACTCCCCTCTATGTCATCTATGGGTGCAAGCCTCCCCTCTCCTCTAGTGTACTTCTCACTTCGGCAATGGACGCAGTTGAACATCAGCTACAAAGTCGCAATGCCTTACTAGAGGAACTAAAGCACCACCTCAATTCTTCCCAGATCCATATGAACATGTATGCTGACAAGAAGCGGCAGTAGCTAGAGTTCAGTGTCAGGGACCTTGTCTTCCTGTGTCTCCCTCCCTTCTGGTGAACTTACTCAAAGGCTAGTCCAATGAAAAATTGAGCTTGGCTACTACGGGCTGTTCATGATCCTCTAGAGGATCAGCCTTATGCATCTCCCAACTTCATGGATATTAAGAAAAAAATGTCTCTCAGCTTCTATAAGATTATTGATAATATTATCAATCCCCAAATGGATACAAGCCCCATCTCCTCTCTTCACTTGAATATGCCTTTTAGAGTTTCTCAGCTGCAGAAGTGGATGCCTGCACTTATTTGCAGCTTTAAGTATAGGCGGTCTCTAAATTGGTATGTAATAGACTTTACCTTGACCTACAATTGGGGTATCAAAATGATTCCTTACCGGAAAATTGTCAGGTACTACGACAACGCAGATCGTCTAGCAGAATTGGGAGGCATAAGCATTGATAAATACGTTGCAGGCTGTATTGTCGTGTTCAATCTCGATACAAAGCAAGTTAAATGGACAAGGGAGCTTGACCTCAGTATTGATACTGGGACTTTCCGTGCATATATGTATTCTTCCCCGACTGTAGTTGATTTGGATCGTGATGGAAATTTGGACATAATTGTTGGAACTTCCTTTGGGCTTTGTTACGTTTTGGATCATCGTGGTAACTTCTCTACCTTGTCACTGTCTCTCTTCCACAGTTAGATTCCTTTTTATTTGGAATGCTGTAGTCCTAGCTGTTGTGCATGTTTGTTACTTTGATGTTCAGGATTTAAGGTTCAATGTTAATTTGTGGTGAACTGTTGTAATTTACTCTCTTTTTTTGTGGGTTACTTGTAGTGAGAACTTTTTTCTGAGAACGATCTGATTGCCCTGATATTATTGCCTTACTTATCCTGACCCTGTTCTTAACAGTATCTCTATATCAAAAGTCATGTTCTATTTTGTCACTTATGTTTTTTGGGGCTGGGAGGTCATTTTACGTTACACTCAATATTTTGTGAGACAAAAACCCTATATTTACTATTTTACGTTGGGGGTTGATAATAGTAGATTACACGCTCAAGTGTAATCACTTGATAGTAGGCCCAATGCAAGTGATTACACTTGAATAGAGATGTAGATTTGTATTACAGGAGCTTGTAAAAATGGAATCTTTTTCCTTGGTACTTTGTTGTTACCATATGATTTTTAAACTGAAGGAAATGCTATATATAAAAAATCAATCTGATTATGTGTTACACGCCAATCAAGACAGTCTCTAACCAATGTTTATCTTGATAAGATAGTCCTTGAAATGGAATTTCAATCTGAATGTTTGAGAAGATACATGCCAGGTGACTCTATCATAGACACAATAAAATGAGCTTGATAATGCATTCATTGAGAATAACTTTTTTAAGTTGATAATGTGCTTAATTTGCATGTTATGAAACACTTCCCATAGGTTAATTGTCACACTGATTCGTTTTCGAATGTCCCATGACAGTAAGAGGTTTCTTTTTCCTTATCTGTACCGCAAATTTTGGGTCATTATTTTGGTTGTTTGCTTAGTGTTTGTTTGCTGTCATTTACTACAGCGGCTTAAGCATACGTTGTTAATGTTGGTTATGTTGAAAGCATTAACGTTACATCTTCCTCACCTTGTTTCTCCCTTAAAAACTATGGACTTTCGTATCATGCACGGACGAAGAAAGTGTAAAGACGCATGCTGAAGATTTTATTTATCACTGTACTGTTAGCAGTTCTATTTTCACACACTATTCCTGCAGCATATTGTTCTGCATAAACCAATATGATTCTTAACAGAATTGCTTCCTGCATTTAGGTAATGTCAGGGAAAAGTTTCCTCTCGAAATGGCTGAGATTCAAGCACCTGTCGTAGCAGCAGATGTC